TGATTCAGACAACCAAAGCCATAGCATCAAGATTAATATTTTTGTTTAATCATTAAGCACAAATTTCTGTGTGAAAGGAAACTGCCACAGAACAAAAAAAAAAGCACAATATTATCTGATCCAGAATATTTTATGCCAGCATGCATGCAGTGAGGAGCTCAATGATCACAAGTGGTTAGCGTGTTAACGTTAAGCAACTTTCGCAGTGGTCGGTCGCTGGATGGGTGATCAAAAATATACTATCTGGAGCTCCTCATCCTGAATATATCAGATTGGTGGGTGGTCTGTGCAGACCACTCACAAATCTGCACTAGGCCAATATGGTGGGTCATAGCCCATCCTCCCTATTCCATCCACAGGGAAGGCCTGTGCCCCAGCAGTGGGGACATTAATAGGCTGATGATGATGAAGCATGCAGTATTGTGATTTGACACATACTTCAAAATATCTGAATTAATCAAGACTGCAAAACTTATTACAATATAGAGAATTGTTTTTAGTTGATTGTAGTAAAGGAATTTTAGTTTATTGAAAAAATAAAAAAGTTAAAAAAAAAATTTGCTGCCGGACTTTGGAAAATGTAATATTTATATTCTATGATTCTTAAAGATTTTTTGTATACAGTAGTTGATTGTAGTAATTTTTTTTTCGTTTGTAGTGGCTTCAAAACGAAAAATTCTATAAGCAGCTAATCCCAATCAATTCAAAACGATACTGTTGAGGGAAAAAGAGACCAAACTATCTTGCGCTTGGTGCTCGTTTGTTTGCGAAATTTAAAAAGCCTAAAAAAAGTCCGACATTTTTTATTTTGGCCAGAAACGCAATCAAAAATCTCAACTATGTCTGTCTTTGTCCAGACTCCTCGCAACACTAGTTGTGGATCAATGTTAATTTTTTTTGGAGTGTGTATGCTGTTGGTCGCAGGTGACCTTTACAGTGTCACCAGGTTTGGGGACAGCGAGATCCTAAGGGGACCTTAAACCGAGAATTAGCGAGTGCCTAAAGAGGTATTGCAGGCGGATGGCGTCTCCCCACGGGGAAAGTCTCCTCTCCATCTGAAGCCTCTAGAACATTCAAACCTGAGAGGTTCGGCTCAACTAGAGGGTGTCTCAGAGACTCTGACCTCGGCTCTAGTTAGCCATTGTCGTGGGGGGAAAAGAGGGTACTTAATTCCATTATATGTAATTGAATTTCGGGGTAATTTGTAGGGGGGGTGGAGGGGGGGCTCCCCCCGACCCCCCCGCCATAAACGATTTTTGGCGGAAATGCAGTTTTTTTTTTTTTACCTAACCTAAAAATTCATTAAATCTGTTAAATGTAGTGGAATTTCAGGGGGATAGGTATTAGGGAAGACCCCTCAGAGGGAAGGGTAAATCCCCCTCCCCCCTCCCGGCGTTTTTTTACAGAAATGATAATTATAAAAAATTAGAGGGGTTTTATAGGTAAAATTGTACTTCCAGGGCCTAGAGATGATATTTGATTTTTTTGTAGAAAAAGTCTCTATTAACGAATTTTTCTTTCTGGCGCTTCGCCGGCCGCTGCCGCGGCACGCTCGCTTCGCTCGCTCGGCTCGCGCGTTAAGGTCACAACACTAACCTAACCTAACCTAGTGTGAAGTATCACCACACAAGCGGCTCATTAGAGTCCAAAACTCGCACTACACTCGACTCTTCAGGCGAAGGGCCAGCAGAACTCGAGGTCGAAGGCTTTGAGGATGCCATGGTAGTCAGACGACGTTAATATCAACAGGAGTACGAAAAAGCTCTCAACTGCGACGAACACAAACACTGACTGACAGATCTCATTAATGGCGGTAAATTGTCACATTTTGACAATAGTACCAACATAATAAACTTATATTTACCATAGACAACGAGAAACATGTTATTTTTGCATAAAAAAATGGCAGCACTGATCAAAATTGCTGTCAAAGTTGACTCATAACCTACAAAAATATTAATTTTCAATAATTTTTTTTTCGAGTTCTATTCGTTTCCGCCTAAAAAGATTTCGTGTACGTGTTTTTGATAGTTAACACTTTGCGTGACAAAAATTTCAGCTTGCAACTCAATTACATATAATGGAAAGCTGAGCCGAAAAGGGTCAATATTAAACTATAAGTAAAGAGCAACCATTGGTAATTTTTGTAACAAACAGAATTTAACACTTACATGGGTTATTAAAACAAATTTTCGCTTGGCTCTATCCTATCTAAAAATGCCCGCTAGTCACTATCTGCTTATCAAGCTCAACTGTACTCACTTATAAGAAATTATTGATTGTATTTTCAGTTAACAATTTCAACTATTGTGCAACTTCTTAATGTTCGATGATTTTATGAAATATCTCCTTTTATCCAAATATAAATTAATTCAAACCAATTTTGAATAAATTCTGCACTTACCTTAAACTGAACCTTTATATTTTAAATGATTGTGCTTTATTTTGAATGTAAATTCCCTTTCGTTCCCAAACTAAATACTTGGACAAGTTTCAACAGGTTTAATAACCTCTATTGTCCTTTATTAAAGACACAAGAAGGATATTGCACAAGCGTTTTTGATACTTGAACTATTTTTCAAACACAGAACAAAAGCAAATTTAACGTAAAGTATAGTAAAACAATTTATCTCAGGGATTCCATGAGAAAATTATAAATAATAACAAAACCCTAATTTGTACCTACTGGAATAGAGAAAATGTCATCCGCCATTTTGCTGTAGGTACTCGACAATCTATAAAATAGAAATTTCACGTGCGATTTTACACTTTGTTTATTAAATATTATATTTACTTACGTCTATTTTAAATGTCTTGATATACCGTTGTATATTTTTTTCGTTTTCGTTATTAAAATATTCGTTCACGAGTATAGTAATCTTTCCTTTGTAAGGATACTTCTGCACTTTCCATCAAAAATTCTTTCCATACAATTTTTCGAGATCTTACAAAATTATTGTATTTTTTTGACACTTGAACCAAAAAACCTGCACAATTTACAATATTTACACATTTACAAACATAATTCACATGTATTTCATAAAAATATGCGTGCAGTCAAAATACGCAGTTCCGTGTTGATTCTGACATTTTTGTTTATGAATGAATGCAACGTTTCGTTCCACATTCATTGCTGAGATTGAGATGAGATGAGAAACAAGAAATGGAAACAACAGCTGTATTCTGTATTTGATGAGTTTTCATTAAAAACATCATTTTTATTAAACTAACTAAAGATGAAAAGATCTTTCGTTTATTAAAAAAAAATTAAATCATATTTAGATTTGTCTGTATAAAATCTCTTAAGTACAAAAAAATATTTAAAAAAAAACTAGTGTTGTATTGTGACCGTTATTGAATACGATGTATAAACAAAGGACTTGGCGCTGGTATTCCATAAATTAAATTCTGTATATTTGAGTATGTGTAATAGATGAGCAAACAGTAGCCTTTCGGTGTGCATCCACCGGAGGATTAGAGCATATTCTAAGGGCACAACATAAAACGACAGATAACTGTACTCCTGCCATTGAAAAAAAAATTTCAATGTAACAAGAATAATATGGAGCTAGTTCCAACTGTTCCTGTTCCAGTCCGGGTAAATCTTAGATTTGGTAGCTTGTTCAAAACTAATGCTATCTTGCTGCTCAGAATGTTTCAATGGGGCACATTACACTGACAAAATGTCAAGAATACCACGACTCCATAATGGAACTCTGCTTTTAAAGCAAGATTAGATTAAATTACAGTAGGTATTTACTAAAAATTCGTAAGTATTTTCTGTAATTTAGTGAGTATTGAACATAGATATAGGATGTAAAGATAGATTGCGCACTTTCGCAAGGGTTCTTACAATTGGATTCTGCATGTAATGCGTATCAGTGTTTGATTGTGAGTAAAAGTGTCGTTTTTTCAGGATATGCTTAAAGACGATACCATAATACAAACTGAATTATATAAGGATAATTATTTTCTATGTTTCACAGAATTTCATCATAAACGTTTTCACAGTACGGCTTGACAGAATCCTATTAGCTGTTATTTTATTGGACCCAAGGTACATCATGTTTTGTCTTTTTCTGTCTTGTAAGGGTATAATAATGCTTTATTCACGATAAAGATGATTTGATTTGATTTAATAATATATGTTTTCCTCACTCTGTCAGTCTTTAAATACTGAGTGTATGGTAATGAGGTGATACGTGATACTATATACGTGATAATTGATAAACTTTGGTGCATGGTTTATTTTTGGAATCCAAGATAATTTTAAAGCTATATGAAATACAACACCTTACGAAAAAAAGCAATTATACTTATACTGTCAATAGAAATGAAATCAGGTTATGAAACTAAAACTGCTGGCACTTCACTTGGCTATTCGTCTTTGCTACTTTGCTATTTGTAAACTTAACAATAAGTCTGTCCTTATTATGCTTTATGAGGAATGAACAGGACAGACTGATGTCAAGTTTATAAATAGTAGACACGAATAGCCAATGAGGGCTATCTCGAATAAATCCGCGAGAGAGGCCCTTATGTAGGGTGAAGTCCCCGAAATGTCAAACGTTATTGCTTGTTGGTTGAATGCGTGGGTTTAATGCTATTTAAAATAATGTTGTGAATATTTGGTAATGAATCAGATTAATTATGGCAAATATGAGTTACGTGCCAATGAATGTCAGTGATTTAAAAGCGTAGCAAAGAAAAGTTATTGTCCTCCTTTTTTCCGAACAAAACTGAACTGCACAACGCTCTGGCATGGGCAATTATTTAAACGGTACGGTTCTTTTTTATTTAAATGTGATCTAAATGTAAACTTTGATTTCACGCGCGTATATTAACAAGCTTTAAAAGCTACACTTCAGGAACTCATTGAACAGAGACGCCATCTGGTGTGAAAAAATACGGTAGCCCTCTTTAAATTACTTACATGAAAATCTGTTCCTCGGAGCTGTTCCGATATAAATGATTACTCCCCTACTTCTTCCTCCCTAACCTAATCTGTGTATTGTGGGAAGCCATTTTGTAAGTCGCGTTTTCTAGAGAAAATCAAAAGAATTTTTGTGTAAATTACGCCGTTCGTGTATTTTACGCGCGTAAAATAAAATGTCCAAGCGTAGGATTGAAGTGATGGATCCTTTTATCAAGAAGAAAAGGTTAGTGGTTTGGTTATTATTTATTTTTACATGTTGTGGGTAGACCATGCGTTAAAGCATTCTTTTGTTTGTCAATTAATACTGAAACTTTGAGAATACAGAGCGCCAATTGATTTCAGTGAGTTGGTTTTATTGAGCTACGTTATAATTTGAAGTGTTTCTGTATTACATTGAAAACTGAGCTAGATAATTAATATTATTCATGCCGTAGTAAACTATCGGCGTACCTATTGATTCGTATTTTTTGTTACTTACATTTTGATATTAACGATAGCTACACCGCAATCTGAATTCATTAAATTACCATATCGTATTATTATTCTGTGATAACTTGGTCACTTTGATGGTTAGCTTTTTCACATTGACATGCACCTATTTATTCGAGCGTAATTGGAAAGACGTCTTAAGTAAAAAAAATAAGGCAGGTTTGGAATCCAAATTGCAGATAGCAAAGATTAACTCCTCCATAAACAGTTTCCTAAAATTTCCCGTGTGGTTGTTGGTTCATTGAACTTGGAATAAGTGATAAAAAAGTTTAATTTTGTTTTGTGGTTATGCAGGCTTCTACGAATGATATATAAATTACTAGGCCATAAAGTGCCATGGATATAGTTACCATTTTTGGCTGTTATATTAAATCACGCTAATGGCTGCACTCATAGACTTTAATAACCTTAAAATTAATTAAAATTCATGCTTTCACTGTGATCACTACAGTAGATCTGCGGTAATCCGGACCCCGTTTTATCCGGCGCCTCCTGTAGACACGCTTATCACTGTTGTATTGCACATAAAATCAATTGAATAGATTTGTAATATGTCCGATTACAAGGTACTTTTATTCCGAAAATTCTGGACTGTAGAGGGTGATCTTAGACAGTACTCTGTAATCCGACAAATTCGATAATGCTAGCATCGCCTTGCAAAACATTTTTTGGATTACTGCGAGTCTACTGTATAGATTAAATTGTCTTATACATTTCAGACAAATTCGTTTTTGGGTGTTACAGAAAGATTTAGTTCGGATTCTGAATAACTGTTTTTTTTTTGTGAAATGTATGGTTTATGTTACGGCATATTATCATTACTATAAGTCCGTATCCAGAAGGATTTGAAAAATAAGAAAACACATTAAGGTTCCATAGCTCTATTGCAACTGAAATTCAATTATATAAAAGTGGCAGACATAGCTGGTGACACACACAAGTATATGCAACACATTTGGTATAGTATAAGCATGATGTAGGGTATAGGATTACGTAAACTCGACAAAAATATCTCCCTACATGAAGCAAGACTAAGGCTCCTATTAAAGAATGACAACTAACATCCCTTTCTAACTGTACTCAAATAAAGGTCAACACTGAGTTGTCATTCTGTAATATGAGCCTTATTATTTGTATTAAAAATTGTTGACCAAGCACTGAATAACGATAAACAATGGTCATCAGTATCATTTCATACGTTCTGCTACAAGTTTTGTTGTCTCCTAAGCATACTTAGTTATTTGTGATAGGTAGAGCATAGTTGATTTTCAGGCTAAACGCACTAAATACGCAGCAAATCAAAATGCAGTTTTTTCTTTATTTTTTTAAATTCAGAACACAGCTTTTACTGTCTTTAATTAGCTGGCCAGCTACAAATACGTTAAAAAAGTTTGTGTTAAGTTCCCATAGTGAGCAGTAGCTTAAACTACTAATAAACACAACTATATTTTGTCCCACATTGTAAGAATACAACATAGAGTATAGTTTAATAACAATTACACTAGATTAAATACCAATTTTAGTACCATAAGTAAGTTTCTTGTGGTCAATTACGGAGTGTCTTTAATTATGTGACCACCACTGTATGTATTCAATCGTTACCCTAGTATTCCATAACAGAAGCCTTACAGTGCATAATTTGGAGCTAGGCTAGAGCTAGGCTAATTGGTGTGAGTGTTGGAAATATTTATTTATTTATTTATATATATAAATTTAGTGATGGCCTTATTTCCTTTAGGAACATACCCCTTTTTTTTTTTTGTGACGAGGGGAAATGCATTTACGCACCATACTGTGACGCTGACTAGGCGCACGGCGTGTGTGGGACTCGCCGGCACGGGAAACAGTGCCGACCCTACTCAAGCAGGACCAGTGCGGAAGGCCACACTGATCCTACTCCACTAAAACCCCCCGGTACCCTCCTACGCCCATATGGATCGACGTTAGGAACATACCCCTAACCTACTGCTGAAACACTTTGGTACAACAAAACAAATAAATAATGAAATGATATGTTCTTCTTCTGTGTATGTACTTGAATAAATTAATGGTCAGCCAATCAGTCTATCCATAATATAGATTTTTGATCCGGTCAATTTGTTAAATTTTGACAATTGTATCATATAACAAATAACATCTAGCAGTTAAATGCTTAAAAATAAATAAAAACATAACTACAGTTGCTATTTCTTCTTTCAAATGTTTAATACTTGAAAAAGTATTCATTTGACATTGTGGGTTACCTACAATGCGAAGAGATGGCGCTGCCTTGCAGCTTAAGGCTAGGAAAATTTCGACGCGGCCAATAGCGCCGTGGTAGCATAATGGTCAGTGCATTCGCCCGGATTGCGAAGGGTGCGGGTTCGAGTCCCGTCCGCTGCCTGGTCCGCGTGGTTTTTTTTTCTAGTAAACTTTTCTTTAGATTTAAACATCTAGCAGTTAAATGCTTAAAAATAAATAAAAACATAATTGTATCAAGTTGTTTATTAACTTTATTGTGTAATGCTTCTAATGGTCTGCATGATTGAAAATTGTACAGTATCCTATTCAATCAATAATGTATGAATATGTCTGATTGTTAGCATGCCTAAATTAATAAATCTTTACTTGTGGTGGTCACACACCTGAGGGTATAAAGTTTAATGTAAATCACAGTATTTCCCAACATTGAGTAATTCCCATGAAACATTTTAAATATTGCACAATTTTAAGTAATCTTTGTCAAAGAACAGACGGACTAATTAGCTGATTGGACACTGTTTAATCATGCTTTTATTCCTTTGAAGTACCCATGCTGTGGATCAACAGCTAGACTTAGAGTGTTAGGGGCTCTGGGACAATCATGGATTTGTTGGTAGATGCACCTAAATTTGGAACATTTTCTGTCTTCCGCAGAGAAGAGAAGGCAGCTGCTGCAGCCAAGTCAGGTGGCAGTGGGGAATCTTCAGACTCAGTCGCCACGCTGGGCACCAGCATGCCTCCTACCGCCACCAGCACACCCGGTGTCAACACATTCACCGGTAAGTTTTATTATAAATCTGCCAATAACAGCCTACCCGCAATTATTTCAGTTACTCCGTAATCATGGCGCTTGCAACAGTGCCGAAATATGGGGAACTCGCTAAAAACAAGGTACCTACATGGTAACAGTCCCGTAAATAACTTATATTACTATAATGTTAGTGACCATGAAAGTTTAAAACAATATAAAGTTTTATTATGTTTTTTATTACATAATCACCTAACGCCCCATGCTGGAATTAGAGGAAATGCTAATTTAAAGTACTAAATAATAAAATAAAATAAAAATATTTTATTTTATTTTATATTGCGCCCGAAAAAGACATTGCTCCGTCAACATCCGATCGGGGCGTGGGTAGCGACCTCATCATCATCATCAGCCTATTATTGTCGCCACTGCTGGGGCACAGGCCTTCCCTATGGATGGAATAGGGAGATTGGACCATGACCCACCACGCGGGCCCAGTGCGGATTGGTGGGTGTTAACGACTGCAGATGCAGCCGGGACCAACGGCTTAACGTGCCTTCCGAAGCACGGAGGAGCTCGAGATAGTAAATTTTTGGTCACCCATCCAACGACCGACCACTGCGAAAGTTGCTTAACTTCAACGATCGCAGCCGAACGCGCTAACCACTTGCGCCATCGAGCTTCTCAACCGTGGGTAGCGACCCACGGGACTATAAATCGTTTCGTCTGATGGTTAGAGTCGACTTTTGTATCAAGAAGTTTAACCGTAGACTAACTAAGTGCTTCGGAAGGCACGTTAAGACGTTGGTCCCGGCTGCGTCTGCAGTCGTTAGCACCCACCAATTCGCACTGGGCCCGCGTGGTGGGTCACTGCCCAATCTCCCTATTCCATCCATAGGAATAGGCCCTTACAGTAGGACCTGGAATGTTGTGTGATTAACTAGTTTATCATTTTGTTTTATAGTGTTGGAATTTGGGGGTCTCTCTGCATATTTGTTATGATAAAGTGCGTTGTCGATAACCAGAACGGAGTTATTGGGTGTACGGGACGCCGGGCTGTCGCAGTAGCGGACAGTTACCGACTCGTACTGAGGGGGTGGAGGAAGTTACACGCAGGAGTCTTGACTGTAGTGGACTGTAGTTTCGGCGAATAAAACCCCTGGTGTTCGGTACTGAAGAAATCGGTGGGCGCTGATAATGGATGGCCGGTGAGAGGAGGCTTCAGGTCCAGAGTGAACCGCTTGATTGTTTCTTCCTGTTCCTTAGGGTAGGAGCGCCTGTCGCTGAATGCATGTCGGAGCATGTTCCGACTCGAATTTTATATGCTAGGACTGAGCTGGCCAGCGATCCATTACCTCACCCACGCTATACTTTATTTTTCATTTTCTCAAAAATTACAATAGTGCGAGCTTAAAACTAATTGTACATACATCGGGCATACATTTAGGCATATTTTTAACACAGTTATGTGTCCGTAAACACGATATTTTAGGTGTGGCGCGCAAAAAATAGGTCTCCGCAATATTTATACTTTCCCCCTCCATAGGGCTTCGCCCTGCCACGGGGCTTCGCTGCCCCACCCGCGCGCTCCGGGAGCGCCGGGTGGGGAGCGTAACATGTCTCAGAAAATGGTTCTATGCAAACAGGTTTTGTCTCCTACACGGTACATTTTTACACTTATTGATGTGATACCTATTTATTTACGTAGCCCTACGCGTTACCTATCTAATACAACAAGTTTCTTACAAGAATATCAACAAACAACAGCTATACGGCTCTCTAAAGTTTACAAATTAAAAAGTCTTAAAAAACCTACTTACATTCACTTAATGCCTAGCTATCATATACCGTTTTATAGAAGAAGTAAAAACACACAAAATAACATCATTATTATAACAATTATACCTATATCCTATTGACTATTCGTAAAAAACTATTCCCAATATTTTCCTTAATTACGCTTAAACTACTAACACGATTCATACAAAACTTTGATATATTATTCCTATAACTACCTACTATCTAATAAGACATAAAATAAATCAATCAAAACATAAAACATACTATTATCGAAAACTATCAACTCAGGCAAAATCCTATAAGATGTGAGACAAGGACAACCTATTGTCTCCGTCCCTCCTATAGGTCGGAACTATCAGTATTCTGACTAGTTTCCCCGCGCCACCGCTTGGCGTCGTGGCGATCGTCTAGATAAAGTCTTATAAGATTATTGGAGAGAACGGGGCGGAATATCGCTCTGAACTATCAATTTTACAATGGTTTACTATGGGCAGAGCTATCTATTATTGCGATATCCGACTCATTCTAATAAGACAACAAGGGAATGATATTTTTAATGCGTATACAACCGATTCATGTGAAATTATAGATACATTTTTTACATTAATCCCATATTGTCGTAAGTTCATTTTCTCTCGCTTCGGTCGTAAGGCGGTCGTCTCGTACATTGGGTTTATTTGGTATTAATTGATTAAGCAGCCATTTCTCATAGTTTTCATTATTCATCTCTTTGTGGTAATCACCTGTGGTATCTGTAGATTTATATATTAAAAAAGCTCTGGGAACAAAACCTTTTTCGTTGCCTGCATTAACTATTATCAACCGTTGTCCCTTTGACTTCTTTACTCCTATTTTTTTATCATCAATCCAACTTTTGCCTTTTGTATGGGATGTATGTATGTAACACTCATCCATATAAATTATATTTCTTCCTTCATTGCGAAAATTGTATATTTTATCTAGGTATTCAATTCGTTTGAGTCTTTTATTGTATTGTTTTGTATTGTTTCTCCATTAAACTTTTCTGTTATCTTCCATTTAAGTGAACCGAAATCCCGTCTCCAGAAGAATTTATCGCAACGTCTTTTATTCATTATAGTTAATACCTAGGACTAGGCTGTTACAAGCACTTGTGAATGTCGAAAAGTTACGCCATCGGTTCGCAAATCTACGGCGGGAGACCTTGTACTGAGAAGAACCGGCAAGAAACTCAGCAAGGGCCGTTTTTCTCCCTGTATTACATACAGAGTCGTCAAATTGAAAAATGACTTCAATATGAGACAGCTCATTTAGGGATGTTACGGAGCTTCGAATCCGGGTCCGATAAGGCGGAACTTCCGATTATTATTACACCTTCGGTTCCGACTTCGGCTCCGAAACTTTTAAATCGGAAGTTTTAATCGGAGTTCAAAGCATAGCAAATAGGAAAGGCGGCCTGCGTCGACCGTTACAAACTGGGTTCAAACCCGTCGCGTTGGGAGTCTGTGTTAATAATAAGTAAATTAAAATGAAAAAATGATTATTTTATAATGAAATTGAAAAAAATTGACTGAATGATGTTTCGATTTGTTCTTAAATTACTAATATCTCTCTTGTGACCACTTCTGACTCTGCCTCTGACCCCGACTCAGCCTCCGATTCCGGTTCCGACTCCGATAAATCAAATTTAAAAACTCCGACTCCGACTTCGGTTCCGATAAATTTACCTCCGTTACATCCCTGCAGCTCATGTAGTCTCTTTCCATTGTAAATGTAAATAAGCTGATAATAATATTTTTCCACAGGCTTACCACATTCGCAGCGCTACCACGAATTACTCAGGCGTCGGCTAGGCTTACCAGTATGGGAGTACAAAAACGACTTCATGAGACTCCTGAACACCCATCAGTGCGTAGTTCTAGTCGGAGAGACTGGCTCTGGCAAGACCACACAGATACCGCAGTGGTCTGTGGAATTTGCTGCCGTAACCGCTTGGAAGTCTAAAGGGGTTGCTTGTACGCAGCCTAGAAGAGTGGCCGCCATGTCTGTGGCGCAGAGAGTGGCGGAGGAAATGGATGTGGCGCTTGGTAAGTTGGGAGTTTTTTACTATTATATTTCAACGCGTACAAAGAAATTTGGTGACTCATTTCTTTGTCGCACTATCCGTAAATGGAATGCTTACAACCTGGGATCCTTTAAAAGAGGCGTGAAGAAGCAACATGCAGGCCGGCAGGGTGAGGATGGCTGGTGTGGCAGGTACAACTGCTGTACCAGCTATCTTCCCGTCTGGACTTCACCTTCACTTAACATCAGGTGGGGTTGAGTCATTTGTCGGACCTATCTAGAAAAAAAATATAATATTGTCTTTGCTCAAGTTAAGCAACTTTATGAGTTTAAGAGGGGAGGATGTCTTTTAATGATGATATATCGACGACCTCCGTGGTCGAGTAGTTTGTACGCCTGGTTTCATGGTGTCGCCGACTCGAGAGGTCTCGGGTTTGAGTCCCGGCAGATGTTTGTTTGATGAATACGAGCATTTGTACTCCAGTCATGGATGTTCAATATGTATTTCTATATAAATACTAGCTGACCCAGCGAACTTCGTACCGCCATAAAAAAATAGGGGTTGGTGGTAGAAGGGTGAAAATTTAGGGATGTATGTATTTTTGTATGATTTATCATCAAAAAATTTAAAAAAAAATCTAAAATTGAAAAAACAAATTTAGGGTTGGATTACCCTTAACATTTAGGGGGATGAAAAATAGATTACATCCGATTCTCAGACCTACTGAATATGCATATAAAATTTCACGAAAATCGGTCGAGCCGTTTCGGAGGAGTTTAACCACAAACACCGCGACACGAGAATTTTATATATTAGAAGATACTTATACAGGGTGTAAAAAAACCTTTAACGGATGCTGTCACTTTTGTTGGCTAAGAAAGAAGACAGAGACAACAATAGGATTAAACCTGAGGTGTCCGTTAATGGTTGAAAAAAAATATTTGTTAAAAGTTAAGAGCCCTTTCACATTTTTTGCAAAAAATCGTAATTTTGAGCGCCTCGTATACCCCTTTAGAAAAGATTTTAAGTATTTCCAATAGAATTAAACAGTAGATTTATTCTTCCTATTGTAAGTTAATGTACAATATTTGCAAATACATACTATTTTCCTTTTTTTTTGTACAGATCGTTCTACTGCAGCTAGTTTACGGGAAAAACGATAATATGCACAACTTCAAACGCCTCAATCTCTAAATAATGTTTAATAAATTAGATAATATTAATTACTCCGACATCAGAAATATGTTTTTGTTGCAACATAATGTATTTGAATTTAGATTTTCCATCTCATCAATTATCAAAAAAAAAACATCTAACCTCCGTGAGTTTTCCCAAAAAATAATGCAGGTTTACCTCTTATTTTGATATTGAATTAAATAGAATTATTATGAAGAACTTTCATAAAACTAATCTGCCATCATTGAACTACTGAAATATGCATATATTTTTATAATTAGTTCATTAATAATTATTTTACAAGATTTGAAACATCACCCGTAAAATGCAATATATACTAGTGCAAATCTACCTACGCGCCGATCAGTACGGCAGCGGCGCAATTTTGTAAAAGGGCTCTTAATAGTTAAATAAAAATATCACATAATTCTGATGGCTGAAAATATCGATCAATATTTTTATTCAAATACAATATGTGAAAATTTTTTTCACATTGATTTATTATCAATATTTTTATAAGTTCGGATTTTTATTATTAGGATTTTATTTTTAGGATATTATATTATTCATTAGGATAATTTTAACAATCTCTTACATTTATCTTTATGAATAAATATTACTATCTGTTGAAAATCAACATGAATTAAATGAATATTTTTATTAGATATGATTGAAAATATTTATTGGAGATATATATAATTATTTTTATTAGTTTAATTTAACGGTTGATAAATATGTATATTTAACAACACTAGTTTAAACCATGATCAACTTTAGTTCGCGTTTTGGAATAAGGCAATTTGACTTGCCCAAGATGGGACAAATATTTATCTAAAAATATATTTAGCTGACACCAAGTCTTCTTTCCAGGTCAACAAGTCGGCTACAGTATACGTTTTGAAGACTGCTCCGGTCCCCAGACCGTTTTAAAGTACATGACAGACGGTATGTTGCTCCGTGAAGCCATGTCTGATCCGATGTTAGAACAATACAGAGTAATCTTACTCGACGAAGCCCATGAACGTACCCTGGCCACCGATATTCTCATGGGAGTATTGAAAGAAGTGATAAAACAACGATCCGATTTGAAGTTAGTTATTATGTCAGCCACATTAGACGCTGGCAAATTTCAACAGTACTTCGATAACGCTCCATTAATGAATGTCCCTGGACGAACACATCCTGTAGAAATATTCTACACACCGAAGCCTGAGAGAGATTATTTGGAAGCGGCTATCAGGACTGTAGTTCAAATTCACATATGCGAAGAGATCGCTGGGGATATTCTACTGTTTCTGACCGGGCAAGAAGAGATAGAAGACGCTTGTAAGAGGATAAAAAGAGAGATTGACAATTTGGGTCCGGATGCTGGAGAGCTGAAGTGTATACCGCTGTATTCTACGCTGCCACCTAATCTGCAACAGAGGTGAGTCAAGTAAACATTTTATTCTGATTTAGTTTTAAGTAACATTAGTGATTAAGTGGATGACAGCTGAAAAGATGGTCGGATGACATAAGAAGGGTAGCTGGCCCGCTATGGCTGAGGTTAGCAAGGGATAGATCGGGGTGGAAAAGGCTGGAGAAACCTATGTGTCTGCAGGGCACGCCGAATTATAAGTAAAAATGTTAATGATGGGTTTTTTATGTAATTATCAGCAATAAAGGCTTTTGTATTTTTAACACTAGCGATTCAACTGCCTTTGCACGGCCTAAATTTATTTGAAGTCGATAAAAGATAGCTTATGTCACTCTTGATTATTAAAGCTTTGTAATGTTAAATTATTTTTTTAATCCTATCTTGTAGTTTTTTAGTTTAATAATAATAGTATTTCTGTTCAACTTTTTTTGCTATATATTTCTTGATAAGGGGGCGTTCAAGTATTACTTAACGCAAATTTACGTTTTCCTGTCCATGTTGTAAAGAATTGTTGCAATTCGATACTAACAATTGAAGATTATAAAGTAGGCTATTTTGTCCTTATGCTCCAGTTTTTAGTTTAAAAAAGTATTTGTATTGTTAAGATGTGTTAATTCTTATTTTTAAGGTGTAGAAGGTTTGATTTTGATTTTTAAGAACACAGTTTTTTTATTTTAAATATTAAAAAAAATCATAGTGTCAACGTGTTAGGCATTATTGCAACAATATTAAATACCCTAGATACACCAGGAGCGCTCAAATGTGTCCTAATCAAGAAGTGCTTGAACACCACTCAAGCACTTCTTGATTCAGTCACGCGCGGATCGCTGAGAAGTCAACATGCTGCTGAGCTCCGTGAAAAAATGCGAAATGAATACTTATAGTATGTAAAATATCGTTTTTTAACTGGTATCTAATCAATGTTTGTTAATTTAACGTATTTGAAGCAAATTTTGCTTTAATACTTACTATAATATAAACTGATATAATACCTGTACCTGCTATATTGCTAACAGCGCATTCAGAATTGCGCGTAGAGTCAAAGAAATAAGGTCAATATTCTTCCGCATATAGCAATAAGTTGTGAAATTTTACAAGCTTACATCTCGGACTACCATAACTCTTCGACGCATGCGGTTTAATTAAGACCTTATACAGTGTGCTTTAAAGGTGATTTTCAATGTTTAAATAATGCCTTATATTGTTTAGACTATGCGATCATCTTACGGAGCTCCGTGGATCATTCAATGTACCTTTTGGACAGGTTTCGGGCATGATTTTATTCGTGTTGGTGTATCTAGGGTATTTAATATCTTTGCATTATTGCAGCATTGTCATCATGCATTTCAAGCACTATGCTTATAACCGATACCTCTCACATTCTGGCTTAGTTTCCTGCTACAATTAAGGAATTTTTTCTAGTTATATTTTCTTTAGATTTAAACATCAAGCAGTTACATGCTTTAAAAATAATAAAAATTATAACTATAATTGCTATTTCTTCTTTCAAATGTTTAATACTTGTAAAAGTATTCATTTGACATTGTGGGTTACCTACAATGCGAAGAGATGGCGCTGCCTTGCAGCTTAAGAATAGCTAGAAAGAATTTCGACGCGGTCCGCGAGGGCCGCGGTAGCAAAATTGGTCAGTGCATTCGCCCGGATTGCGAAGGGTGCGGGTTCGAGTCCCGTCCGCTGCCTGGTCCGCGTGGAATTTTTTCTAGTTATATTTTCTTTAGATTTAAACATCAAGCAGTTGCATGCTTTAAAAATAATAAAAATTATAACTACAATTGATGAGATTAATTTTTCCTCACCCCAGAATCTTCGAACCCGCACCCCCTAACCGGGCAAACGGCGCGATCGGCCGCAAGGTAGTCGTGTCCACGAACATAGCGGAGACCTCCCTCACCATCGACGGGGTGGTGTTCGTCATCGACCCGGGCTTCGCCAAGCAGAAGGTGTACAACCCCAGGATCAGGGTCGAGTCGCTGCTCGTCTCGCCTATAAGTAAGGTGAGTGACGAAAAATTACAGCTTGTCTATTTTTTTTCCATATAGTGTAACATTTCCCCAAATAGTGACGCATTTCCCCAAATAGTGACGCATTTTCCCCAAATATTGACGCATTTTCCCCAAATAGTGACGCGTTTTACCCAAATAGTGACGCATTTTAGTCAAATAGTGAACACATTTTCCCAAATAGTGACGCATTTTGGCGAATTGGTGACATATTTCCCCAAATAGTAACACTTTCTCCCAAATAGTGACAGATTTTTCCAAATTATGACGCATTATCTCGTATAGTGACAAATTTCCAAATAGTGTCGTATAACTCTTAAGGACCAATTTGTGACAGATTTCGGTCCAAATAGTAACAAAATAATAGTATGACCGAAATAGTGAGCAATTCATTTATTGTAGGTAGCTAAGAGCCATTTTTAAAACGATACAATATTATATAGAAACAAATTTAAAATACACATATAGTTTGTACGCCGGGTTTCAAGGAGCTTACTCGAGAGGTTCCGGGTTCGAATCCCAGTAGGGGCAGGTGTTTGTGTAATGAATACGAGCATTTGTAATGCAGTCATGGATGTTTAATATGTGTTTCTATATGTAAATATCTTAATATATATAAATCTCGTGTCACAATGTTTGTCCTCAATGGACTCCTAAACCACTGAACCGATTATAATAAAATTCGCACACCATGTGCAGTTCGATCCAACTTGAGAGATAGGATAGTTTAAATCTTAAATTATAGTCGCAATTTTATTTTATTGTAAATTATTACTTTTGGGCGGTACGAAGTTCGCCGAGTCGGCTAGTACTTATATATGTACAGTATATATATTCTATCCGCTACCCTAGTATCCCATAACACAAGCCTTATAGTGCATACTTTGGGGCTAGGCTAATTGGTGTGAGTGTTGGAAATATTTATTTATTTATATAAAACAAATAACACTTGTTTATTCGACATTAACTGTTACATTTCATTGCATCACATTAAATTCATTCAAATAAAATCTAGGTCCTCATCAAAAATGAGCTGGCGAACAAAACTGTATAATTACATAAAATTAAATATTACAGTATCATCATCGTCAGCCTATTAATGTCCCCACTACTGGGGCACAGGTGTTCCCTATGGATGGAATAGGGAGATTGGGCCATGACCCACCCAGATGCAGCCGGGACCAACGGCTTAACGTCGCAGATTGGTAGGTGCTAACGAATGCGTTAGCACCCACCAATCCGCGCTGGGCCCGCGTGGTGGGTCATGGCCCAATCTCCCTATTCCATCCACCGGGAAGGCCTGTGCCCCAGCAGTGGGAACATTAATAGGCTGATGATGATGATGAACGACTGCAAAATACAGCCGGGACCAACGGCTTAATGTGCCTTATTATTATTATAGTATAATTATATAATAGTACATTACGATACGCGTGACCTAAGTTGCCTATTACTGCACGGCGTGAAGTTAGCGCCGTGCTAAACGCCGGGCAGTAATAGACAACTTAGGCCACAAGTATCGTATACTATGTTATAGCAAGTGTGACATAAACCCGCCCCGGACGCGGGCAAGAGGGGGGGGATGCGATTAGTGTTTTGAAAGTAAAATTCATGTTCAGGCCATTTTCGACCAAAAGATACAATTCTCGCGGAATGAATTATAGCTAACCGTTTCTCCTTGTTTTGGCTGTCACTGAAAATTCCTAACCTATCGCTAATTTGTCATTTGTTTGCTGTGAGTTTTTTAAGCTCCATATGACATTTAAATGTGTTTCCTTTTATTTTTTCTACATAGTGAAGTTGGTCAATTCATTTACACACCGTGCAGAAATAGGCAACTTAGGTCACGGAAAAGCGTGCGTAAAGTGCGGGTTTAGGTCACACTGTGCTATAAAATAAATTTTTGAATGGCATACCTCCGGTGAGGTTTTGGCATGGTTTTTAATATATAAATTAAGATAATTTTTACACTTATTTAGGCGGTTTTGATTGAAAATTACTTGAGATTGAAATCTCTTATCTATTAGACAAGTCCGTCCGTCCGTCTGTGGTGCTGTTTCAGCGGCCAAACCGTAAGAGATAGATAAAGAGAATGTTTAAGTTATAAGTTAAGAATAGTCTGATAAGACTACAAACCGGATTTGAGTAACGTAGCACTTCCGGTTTTCGAGAAATCACGAATTTCAAACGAAACCACACAAAATCTCCGAAGTTCTCAATTAATTAAATACTTTTTTTTTTAATCAGGTTTTGGTGAACATTTGGCTCACTGGTTTGCTAGTCTTTATATATATAATTCTTCTGTGAGTGTGTATGTCACTGAAGTTCTCTTAAACGACTGGACCGATTTTGATGAAATTTTTTGTGTGTGTTCAAGGGGATCTGAGAATGGTTTAGATTCACAATTTCGTCCGCTGGACAACGGACAACCCCTATTTTTTTAGGGCGGTACGAAGTTCGCTGGGTCAGCTAGTAAATTATAATATTGTTAACCCCGTGCTTTGTCCGCAGGCCTCGGCCCAACAGCGAGCTGGCAGAGCCGGTCGGACTCGACCCGGAAAGTGTTTCCGCCTCTACACAGAGAAGGCTTACAAGAACGAGATGCAGGACAACACTTACCCCGAGATCCTGAGGTGACCCCACACTATACAGACAGACAGACGAGCACACTTTATATGTACACACAAATGTTGCCTCTACACGGAGAAGGCTTACAAGAACGAGATGCAGGACAACACTTACCCCGAGATCCTGAGGTGACCCCACACTATACAGACAGACAGACGAGCACACTTTATATGTACACACAAATGTTGCCTCTACACGGAGAAGGCTTACAAGAACGAGATGCAGGACAACACTTACCCCGAGATCCTGAGGTGACCCCACACTATACAGACAGACAGACGAGCACACTTTATATGTACACACAAATGTTGCCTCTACACGGAGAAGGCTTACAAGAACGAGATGCAGGACAACACTTACCCCGAGATCCTGAGGTGACCCCACACTATACAGACAGACAGACGAGCACACTTTATATGTACACACAAATGTTGCCTCTACACGGAGAAGGCTTACAAGAACGAGATGCAGGACAACACTTACCCCGAGATCCTGAGGTGACCCCACACTATACAGACTGACAGACGAGCACACTTTATATGTACACACAAATGTTGCCTCTACACGGAGAAGGCTTACAAGAACGAGATGCAGGACAACACTTACCCCGAGATCCTGAGGTGACCCCACACTATACAGACAGACAGACGAGCACACTTTATATGTACACACAAATGTTGCCTCTACACGGAGAAGGCTTACAAGAACGAGATGCAGGACAACACTTACCCCGAGATCCTGAGGTGACCCCACACTATACAGACAGACAGACGAGCACACTTTATATGTACACACAAATGTTGCCTCTACACGGAGAAGGCTTACAAGAACGAGATGCAGGACAACACTTACCCCGAGATCCTGAGGTGACCCCACACTATACAGACAGACAGACGAGCACACTTTATATGTACACACAAATGTTGCCTCTACACGGAGAAGGCTTACAAGAACGAGATGCAGGACAACACTTACCCCGAGATCCTGAGGTGACCCCACACTATACAGACTGACAGACGAGCACACTTTATATGTACACACAAATGTTGCCTCTACACGGAGAAGGCTTACAAGAACGAGATGCAGGACAACACTTACCCCGAGATCCTGAGGTGACCCCACACTATACAGACAGACAGACGAGCACACTTTATATGTACACACAAATGTTGCCTCTACACGGAGAAGGCTTACAAGAACGAGATGCAGGACAACACTTACCCCGAGATCCTGAGGTGACCCCACACTATACAGACAGACAGACGAGCACACTTTATATGTACACACAAATGTTGCCTCTACACGGAGAAGGCTTACAAGAACGAGATGCAGGACAACACTTACCCCGAGATCCTGAGGTGACCCCACACTATACAGACAGACAGACGAGCACACTTTATATGTACACACAAATGTTGCCTCTACACGGAGAAGGCTTACAAGAACGAGATGCAGGACAACACTTACCCCGAGATCCTGAGGTGACCCCACACTATACAGACAGACAGACGAGCACACTTTATATGTACACACAAATGTTGCCTCTACACGGAGAAGGCTTACAAGAACGAGATGCAGGACAACACTTACCCCGAGATCCTGAGGTGACCCCACACTATACAGACAGACAGACGAGCACACTTTATATGTACACACAAATGTTGCCTCTACACGGAGAAGGCTTACAAGAACGAGATGCAGGACAACACTTACCCCGAGATCCTGAGGTGACCCCACACTATACAGACAGACAGACGAGCACACTTTATATGTACACACAAATGTTGCCTCTACACGGAGAAGGCTTACAAGAACGAGATGCAGGACAACACTTACCCCGAGATCCTGAGGTGACCCCACACTATACAGACTGACAGACGCGCACACTTTTATGTATACACTATACACGGAGCGATAAAAAAAGATTTACAAAACATCAGTAAAAAGCAGTAAATCTTAAACTGTTTAGTCATAATTTAAGATTACATTGCATTCTACTAATATCATAAATATACAAGTTTGTATGTTGTTACTCAATCACGCAAAAACTACTGAACGAATTTCAATTAAAGGACATGGCTAAGAAACTGCCCTTAACGTGTATAAATATTTCGCACTAGCCCGTAACTTTACAATATTTTTTTATTAATTTACGTGTTTATTATTCTCATACAACTTTCGTGAAATAATCAAATATTTAAAAGTATAAAAATTTACTTCACGTCTGTTTAAAAAGCAAAATGTTCCGTTTTACAAAATAAATAAACAATAAATGTACACAACAAAATATTTGTATAAGTATATCGGAATAAACAATATTATTTCTAAACTCCTTCAAACTGTGACATATTTAGCCATAATTTTTATCTAAACAAATCACTGAAGGCCTACAATAATAAATTTTATTATTCTGATCAAGGCAGTATGATAAATTAATCCTTTAATTTTTGCAAATGGACAAAATAAAACTTCACAGATTTCCTGTCAGGCCGACGATAACAAATTATTTGTATTTATTTTTGCTTTAAAAACACTTTTTGTGAAGATTTAATCAGAGAAACGGGAAGAAAGATTCTAATAAAATGCGAAATTGATGACTCTGTAAATAATTGACAGCATCTTTTATCAACTGTAGTAAGGTAATGACATAGTAGGAGTTCTCATAATTTTCAAGATTGTGACTTTATCAAAAGTTCCTGAGCCTTTTTTCATAGAAATTATAATTATTCAGCCATTTACCATTCAATATTACTAAGTACAGTATTTATACATTGCCAGGGCAGTCGCTCATTCAAAACTTTACCATGTCCTTTCAAAATTCCCCGTGAAACTACGTACCTGCCTTATCGTCTGTGATCTAATGCGGTGGCGCGTTATTGCATTGCAGATCGAACTTAGGATCTGTAGTTTTGCAGTTGAAAAAGCTGGGCATTGACGACCTGGTGCACTTTGACTTCATGGACCCCCCGGCCCCGGAGACTCTGATGAGGGCGCTGGAGCTGCTCAACTACCTGGCAGCGTTGGGTGAGTGGCCTCATCATCATCATCATCATCATCATCATCATCATCATCAGCCTATTAATGTCCTCGCTGCTGACCTTTTGACGACCTCCGTGGCCTCGAGAGGTCCCGGGTTCAAATCCCGGTGGGGGCAGATGTTTGTGTGATGAATACGAGCATTTGTACTCCAGTCATGGATGTTTGATATATCTTTATATATATAATTCTTCTGTGAGTGTGTATGTCACTGAACTTCTCTTAAACGACTGGACCGATTTTGATGAATTTTTTTGTGTGTGTTCTAGGGGATCTGAGAATGGTTTAGATTCACAAAGACGTGTAGACAGGACAACGTCTGTCGGGTCCGCTAGTATTTCTATATAAATATACTTATATATGTACAATATATGTATACTATCCGTTACCCTAGTATAACATAACACAAGCCTTACAGTGCTTACTTTGAGACTAGGCTAAATGGTGTGAGTGTTGGAAATATTTATTTATTTATTTACTGCTGGAGCACAGGCCTTCCCTGTGGATGAAATAGGGAGATTGGGCCACGCGGGCCCAGTGCGGATTGGTGAGTGCTGACGACTGCAGATGCAGCCGGGACCGACGGCTTAACGTGCCTTCCGAAGCACGGAGGAGCAAGAGATAGTAAATTGTTGGTCACCCATCCGATGAGCGACCACTGCGAAAGTTGCTTAACTTCAACGATCGCAGCCGAACGCGCTAACCACTGGCGCCATCGAGCCCCTACCCTTGCGCCATCAACATACAGACATACAATCATGCATGTACATGTATAGGCTATTCAATCTTTGCCGCCCCTACTGACCTTCAAAATTCAATACGCTAGTTCACAATTATCTTTATATATATAATTCTTCTGTGAATGTGTATGTCACTGAACTTCTCTTAAACGACTGGACCGATTTTGATGAAATTTTTTGTGTGTGTTCAAGGGGATCTGAGAATGGTTTAGATTCACAATTTTGTCCGCTGGACAATGGTTTTTTAATTAAATTTTTTTATGGCGGTGCTAAGTCCGCTGGGTCAGCTAGTGTATATTTATTCTGAAATTGCAACTATATGATTTGTGTTCTATCGTCCACATTACGTCGGATTTTCCCCGTTAGTTTAAAAAATTACTAAATTTAAATTGTAATTAATATTGAAACGCTAATGGAATATTTAATTAAACACAAAAGAAAAATGATCGCATAAGTACCTATATTTCACAGTGCGTTTAGTAATCTTTTATATACGGATTACGGACGTAAGAGTGTTGAGTATACTGTGCATTACTAAAATAGGCTAGTTGCCTATATTTTAAAAAGTAGTTAATAATATACCTTGATTATAATTTTTATTATTTTTAAAGCATGTAACTGCTTATAATTTTTATTATTTTTAAAGCATGTAACTGCTTGATGTTTAAATCTAAAGAAAATATAACTAGAAAAAATTTCCACGCGGACCAGGCAGCAGACGGGACTCGAACCCGCACCCTTCGCAATCCGGGCGAATGCACTGACCAAGGGCCGCGGTAGCATAATTGGTCAGTGCATTCGCCCGGATTGCGAAGGGTGCGGGTTCGAGTCCCGTCTGCTGCCTGGTCCGCGTGGAAATTTTTTCTAGTTATATTTTCTTTAGATATACCTTGATGTTTATTTAACCCCAAAAAAATAATATTTTTTTTAAAAAAAGTACATTAACAATATGTATTTTGTATTTCAAAAAACTTATTCAAATTTCCCGCGAAAACGCTCTAGACTGTCATGGCGTCTTGAATGACGTCACCCCGTGCAAAGCAAACAATACGCTATACGCCGACTATTAAAATTATTTAGTTAAAAATTAATCCATCGTATTACGAGTACTGTTTAGTGTCCTAGTATAAAAGGACACATAAAACGCCAGGCAAATTATTTATATGCCACAAATGCGGAAAAAATGGTTAGAACTTGCAAGGAGGGATGGTGCCTATTCATTGTTTATAAACAAATACAAGAATAATTTTAATTAAGAAGTATTTTGCATAACATAATCTATGAAATCAAAATGATATACAAGCCGGATAAATTATATTGCATTATATTGATAAAACACTAACAATAGGTTGAGGTTAGGTAAGTGGATTTATTATATGCTTCAGTAAATACCAATTCCATGGATGTATTATGCTTCCTTTCAATAATTATCTGAAAACAAACTGATAAATTGTATCAAAGTAACAATAAAATGAATGAGAAATCAATGAAATGTATGAAAACGGCAACCACAAGTAATGTTTTGCACATGGTGACGTCAGTCTTTCTGATTGGTGTTTGCCGTCACGTGATCTAATGCCTATTTTATTCTAACTTATTTTCTAGAAATAATAATAATCTTTAATTATTATGATAAATAGCTTTATTTTTTGTTATCTGTATATCATAATTCATATTTAGAAACTGTAACCCATTCGATTTATTGTTAGTTGACACAAGCCTATTAAAATGTCACTCGTTTTTCTGTGTATATTTTGGGCCAAATTTGCCGCCCTAGGCTCCAGCCTACTGAGCCTACTGGTAAATACTAAATGAAACTAATAATATAATATAATATAATACTTATTCTTTTGGCTGAAACTACCCGAACACTCAACGTACTCAACTTCGTTCATTAACATTTAGTCGTTTACCCGAATTCCATTGGCACTAGTATTCGGGCTACAGAACAAATGTAATGGTGACATTCAAAAAATTCAAAATTCAATATCGTTTATTCAGTCTAGGCTGTTACAAGCACTTGTCAATGTCGAAAAGCTACGCCATCGGTTCGTAAATCTACGGCGGGAGACCTTGTACTGAGAAGAACCGGCAAGAAACCCAGCAAGGGCTGTTTTTTTCTCCCTGTATCATATAATATACCGAGTCGTTGAATTGAAAAATGACTTCAATATGAGGTAACTCATAAAGTCACTTTCCATTAAAAATGCAAATAATATAAAAATTATGACTATATAAAAAACTGGTATAACAAAGTTTAGGAATGCCGTGTCCTGCTGTTTAGCAAAAAAAAAAATGAACGATTAAAGTTTAGTACAACGATTAATAGTATCCAATGAAGCAAGAGCAGACTCATCTCCGCTGGCAGCACCCGTTCACGAGCATGACGCATGAACCAGCCATCGCTTCGCTCAACCATTTTTTAGGGAACGCAACGACCCGCCTCACGCGACACCACCGAAGAGATTTTTAAGAGAATTAGGAAGATTTAACAGCATTGTAATATATATGTGGTGTATCAATAGAATAGATATTATTTTAATGTAATTAGAGTCTGGGACACGAAACATGAGCCAGCCAATTTTTAAACATTCTTCATATGGTCATCAATCAATCAAATCATTTATTGCATTCATGTAGTTACAGAGATGGTTAAATACATGTTATAAAGTACGTTACATGAACCCTGTCAGGGTATCGCAATACTTGGTGTTCTTGAATAGAATTTATAATCCAATATACAATGTAATTTTTTTTTTTTTAATTTACGTAACAAAAAATATCTACTCAATCAATCATAATTTAATATATTTCATCAATTATCCCATAAAAAAAAATATTAATAATTAATTTGAAATGAATTATAAAATATTAATAAAATGAACACCATGTACATAACAAATTACTAAGTATAACCCACCTTAAAATCAACCGTAATCAATCACATTTTGATTTCTAATTCCTTCAGATTAGGAAGGAGAACGTTTTTTGAAAAGAGCCTACACACATAGTCATAATAGTCATAATATTTATTGCTTCATGTTGGTTACATTTCGTTCTTAAATTTAATAACAGCTCGCAAACATGAGCCCTGCAAGGGCATTGCAAATTATAATAAATGTGTACAAATATTAATTTAAAATTTGATAAAATTACAATAGGATAACAATTCAAGATAGATAGAAAATTTAAATAAGTTAATAAAAAGAATATAATTTTAAAATCAATTCATATTATACTTAAAGCAATTATAAAATACATTTAGGGTTAGGTCAAGAGATGTATGTCAATCAAATCAAAAAATAAATAAACAAGTAACAATAACATTCAAAGTAATAATCCATTCAAAATTCATTCACATAATATTCATTATAATTTAGTTTAATAATTTCGGTTTAGGTCAACAAATTTACGTCATAAAAAAATCTAATCAATTAGTCACTGTAATCACATCCTCGCTCCGCTCATCTTTTCAGCACATCTCTGGCTAAAACTCGGTGTATTATTACTGTTGGCGACTGGCTGGAAAGCTGCCACAGTCTTTTTATATTCATTGTTATGACAACCTCCGTGGCTGAGTGGTATGTACGCCGGGTTACAAGGTGTCGCCTTCTGGTTCGAATCCCGGTAGGGGCAGATGTTTGTGTGATGAATACGAGCATTTGCACTCCAGTTGTGGATGTTTAATATGTATCTTTATATATATAATTCTTCTGTGAGTGTGTATGTCACTGAACTTCTCTTAAACAACTGGACCGATTTTGATGAATTTTTTTGTGTGTGTTCAAGGGGATCTGAGAATGGTTTAGATTCACAATTTTGTCCGCTGGACAATGTTTTTTTAATTAATTTTTAATTTATTAGTAGTTGTTGATTTTGGAATGTTTTACATTGGATCCGACAGACGGCGCTACCATACTAGACAGGACAACGTCTGTCGGGTCCGCTAGTCTCTATATAAATATACTATATGGATTCTATCCATCTTGTATATATATATATAGTGTGAGTGTTGGAAATATTTATTTATTATCAATTACCATAGAATTTTCTCAACCATTTCCATATGTCCAGACGACGACGGCAACCTGACAGACCTGGGCGCCGTGATGGCGGAATTCCCCCTGGACCCTCAGTTAGCCAAGATGCTGATCGCCAGCTGCAACCACAACTGCTCCAACGAGATCCTCTCCATCACCGCCATGTTGTCGGGTGAGTATATCTCACTGACTTTTAGGACAAGTACTATTAGTACTATAAGGGATAGAAAAAGAAAACTACAAAGATATAATTTTTATTATTTTTTTAAAGCATGTAACTGCTTGATGTTTAAATCTAAAGAAAATATAACTAGAAAAAATTCCACGCGGACCAGGCAGCAGACGGGACTCGAACCAACTTCGCAATCCGGGCGAATGCACTGACCAATTATGCTACCGCGGCCCTCACGGACCGCGTCGAAATTCTTTCTAGCTATTCTTAAGCTGCAAGGCAGCGCCATCTCTTCGCATTGATTGATGACATTGTGGGTTTACCTATAATGCGAAGAGATGGCGCTGCCTTGCAGCTTAAGAATAGCTAGAAAGAATTTCGACGCGGTCCGTGAGGGCCGCGGTAGCATAATTGGTCAGTGCATTCGCCCGGATTGCGAAGTTGGTTCGAGTCCCGTCTGCTGCCTGGTCCGCGTGGAATTTTTTCTAGTTATATTTTCTTTAAACTACAAAGATGCCGGAAAAAAAGATGGCGCGTTCGAAGAGATACTGCTTGAGCTCACTTGTAATGGCCGAAATGCAACAGAGGCATAGTGGGGCGTTAGGCCCGATATTAGCACCAATCACGCGGTAGCTCCTCGGCAGCGCATTATTTTATTTGTCAATGAACAAATACATCGGTTTTCAATTACGTTTAGTAGATGAGTGTTAAAAATTGAAGTTAGGTTTCTTTTACAATTATTTTGTGTTATAAAATATTAAATACTATAAAATAATAGTGCGTCGCCTACAAGTATGAACCAATATCGATATCATTATCGAAGAGTTTGGGCCTCTATAAATAAAAGAGCAATAGGCTAGTTGACACTTTTTGGAAATATGTTTTAATTAATAATTGTTCTATTAGACCGAAAAAAAAGTATTGTATTTTTTTTCAGACCTAGAGAGCTACAAAACTTTAATTTTAAAATAGATTTTTCACGGACATACAGTAACGCTGTCGGCCATTTTAGTCTAAACATTATCTATGGCATGATGTCAACAAAATAGTAAACAAACACTCACAAGCACGTAGGAAATAACCTATCTGAATTTATATTACAAAAACATGATTTATAATAGATTTCATGATAAATATAGTTATTATCATGATTGTATTATACGAGAATATAGAAACGCATCGTTAAAGACTCCAGAAATATTGTGGTTTAAAGGGGGTAGCGGGTTAAGGGGGGTCTGGCGGCCCCCACCGAATCTGGTAAAATCGTTCCAAAAATCTTGAAGAGGGTCGAAAAACAAGCAGTATAAGCTTTTTACCGACATTACAACCCCAAACGAAAACGCAGTAATGGCGAAAAATATGATTCTTTGTGATTTTTATTTTTTCAACCAGTTAAATTTATTTTTAAATGGTTTAATGCGATTAAAAATTTGTGTTTGATATGTGGAAGTCCCCTGAATTTTTTCAGATTTGGTCAAGTAAAAACATGTGAATTTTAGGTTTAAATGCGAAAAAATCTTTTCAAGATTCAACCCTCTTATTTTTAGGGTTGTATTAATTTTCCCGAGGGGTGCTGTATAGTATAGACAGCGGCTATCGCCCTCTTTCGAATGCAGGCAATTGGACTCAATTTGGTCAATTCTGGTGAATGGGGCGATTTTTTGAAAAAAACTCGAATTTTCAACTTTCGGTAAATTACGGCGCGTACTTGGTATAATGCGTCTTTGCTATAAAAAATACATCTCTATTGGGGTTTTTGAGGATCACGAATTTGATGTCAAAAAAAATTTCGTCACAAAAACGTCTCCGTTTTTGTGACGGAATATTTCAAGAGGGGTCACAGAAAGTGTGACACTGCGTGACAATAGGGGGGGAGGGGGTCGGAAAAAGCTGATTTTAGCGTGACGTATTTTATGAACGGCCCCTAACATACATTATTTAAAATTTGCATTGCTCTTTACAAACGTTGGCGATATGTAGTTAACTAACAGTATGTGTGACATTAAATGTACTTTACCAGGTTGATATATGTTAATGTTGAGTTTAATGATGCAATAATATTATTGTTTGACTCGTACAGTCTCCTATAGAGGTCCGGTTTAATTTTAATTTTAAGTACATACTATTCAAAATTCAATATCGTTTATTCAGTCTAGGCTGTTACAAGCACTTGTCAATGTCGAAAAGCTACGCCACCGGTTCGCAAATCTACGGCGGGAGACCTTGTACTGAGAAGAACCGGCAAGAAACTCAGCAAGGGCCGGTTTTTTTCTCCCTGTATTATATACAGAGTCGTCAATTTGAAAAATGACTTCAATATGAGATAACTCATGAAGTCACTTTCCATTACAAATGTAAATGATAAAACAATTATGACTATAAAATAAAAAATATAAAAGACAGATTTAAAAATGAAAAAAAGTTTAGGAATGCCGTGTCCCACTGTTTAGGCATAAAAACAAATGTACCATTAATGTTAAATACAACGATTAATAGTACCCAATGTAGCAAGAGCAGACTCACCTCCGCTGGCAGCACCCGTTCACGAGCATGACGCGAGTATTTTCTACATACATATAATAGTTTGTTTGTGTGTTTGTGACAGTTCCACAGTGCTTCGTCCGCCCCAACGAGGCTCGCAAGGCAGCGGACGATGCGAAGATGAGATTCGCCCACATAGACGGAGACCACCTCACGCTACTCAACGTATACCACGCGTTCAAACAGAGTCAGTATCTAAACAAAATAAAACTAGTTTTTACGGGTTAATGCACGAAACTTTATTTATTTATTGACGTTTCGTAGAAGGTAGCTCGACAAATTAAATAAATAAATATTTCCAACACACACCAATTAGCCTAGCCCCAAAGTAAGCACTGTAAGGCTTGTGTTATGGGATGCTAGGGTAACGGATAGAATACATATAATGTACATAATATATGTATTTTTATATAGAAATACATATTAAACATCCATGACTGGAGTACAAATGCTCGTATTCATCACACAAACATCTGCCCCCACCGGGATTCGAACCCGGGACCTCTCGAGTCGGCGACACCCTGAAACCCGGCGTACAAGCCACTCGGCCACGGAGGTCGTCAAATAAATTAAATAAAAGTTTGATTCTGACGACGTAGCCTGTAAAGGCTGCGAAACGTCAATAAATAAATAAAGTTTCGTGCATTAACCCGTAAAAACTAGTTTTATTTCATGAGTGATGTGCGTGAAAACCTAAGAAACAAATATCTAAAGAAAAGTTTTACTAGAAAAAAATCCACGCGGACCAGTCAGGGGCCGTTCAAGTATCACGTAAGCAGATTTATTACAATTATTTACCCCCTCCTCCCCCTCGTCAGCAAAGCTCTTACCCCTCCCCCCCCCCCCCATCCTTACGTAAACATTTGTACCTATATGCATTCTTACTTTAATTTATTCTGTTTTTTTTATTGATTCATGAGCTTTCATGAGCAGCAGTACTTAAATTTAAACAAACTTCTTTCGAATTTTTTGGTATACATATTAATTCCAAATAACGGTCTTCAGTCCATGGCACCGGAATCCATGATGCTGACGTTATCACTATCTCCGACCCCCCCCCCCCCCCATGTCATCAAAAATAAGCAAAGCAAAGGCCCCCCTGCCCCCCTATAGTGCTTACGTAATACTTGAACGGCCCCCCTGATGGCCACGTAGAAATTTTCCTAGCCTTAAGCTGCAAGGCAGCGCCATCTCTTTGCATTGTATGTAACCCACAATTTAAACACCTAGCAGTTACATGCTTAGAAAAAGAAAAAAATGGATGCGTGTAACTTATGTACGCGCGTGAGAAGTTATACTTCTTTAGCATCATTAAAAATATTTTTTAATTGCATGCAAATAATTACAATAAAATAATAAAAGGACTGGAAAAGGATAGTTAACACAGTCAATTGAGTTCAGTTTTAATTTGAAAAATTAAATAAATATTCAATTAAAATCACTAATGAATTTAAGTTATTAGTCCATATGTAATTAGCACTTGTAAGTAACTAAAACACGTTGTGTCTATATAGAAACTAGAAACATGTGGATAAATATTATAAATATGAAAACAGTGATCAGAGGCGACGAGCGTGCCAACATTGTTTTTGACAACGCGATCATCTTATGGAGCTCCGTGGATCGTTCAAAGTACCTTTCGAACAGATGTCTAATATATGTCTAAAATACACTAACATTCATAACGCGCCCGCGGCCAACTTCATGGTGTTACTATTGTGTTACAGTGATGCGCGCGCATCTCGAAATTTCACTCACATGATTTTTTCATAACGCGCCCGCGGCTAACTTCATGCTGTTACTTTTGGGTTACAGTGATGCGCGCGCATCTAAAATTTCACTCTCATAATTTTTTCATAACGCGGCTAAAGAAGTATAACTTCAAAAAACATAAGAGTGAGTGTCGATAAAAATAATAGTTATTTTCAACAGATTTGCTCAAAAAATGCATTCACGGAGGTTGTACACTATGTTCGAAAGTTCAAAATTGCGGGCCATACATTGGAACGTGCGGTAAAACGTTTTACCGCACTCTCCCATACATGGCGCCGTGCGTATCTTTTACGGTTTAGTATAGTATAGTGGAGGAGCTTGATGGCGCAAGTGGTTAGCGCGTTCGGCTGCGTTCGTTGAAGTTAAGCAACTTTCACAGTGGTCGGTCATTGGATGGGTGACCAAAAATTTACTATCTCGAGCTCCTCCGTGCTTCGGAAGGCACGTTAAGCCGTTGGTCCCGGCTGCATCTGCAGTCGTTAGCACCCACCAATCCGCACTGGGCCCGCGTGGTGGGTCATGGCCCAATCTCCCTATTCCATCCATAGGGAAGGCCTGTGCCCCAGCAGTGGGGACATTAATAGGCTGATGATGATGATGATGATAGTATAGTATAGTAGATAGTCTTAAATCTCACCATGTATCACCAAGGGGGGGTGGGGGGTGGGGTTAAAAAATGCCAAAAAAAACCCATCACAATCACGTGATGTTCTTTTTGACATTTACGGAGCTGTCAAAAACTCGTTCTTGGGCCTCTGTTTTACCTTCCGATGTGTAAACCTACGATGTAAGTCGTTTATAATAGGGGTGATGACGGGGTACAGTAAACGAAATTCTATTTAGTCCGTCAGTTAGATGATCAAAAAATAATGGACACGTATTTTTTCTTTGGGCAATCAAACAAAAAATGACAAAGTTATATAGCGCGTCAAAGTTTGGGAGTAGGGGCTCGTGACGTCACTTTTGAGTGAATTTTCACTTATAAGTGTACTCAAACGTGACGTCATGCGACTTTTCAAATCAATATATCTCTGCAATGTTTATATTATGTGAAAAGAGAAAAAATACGTGTCCAATACTTCTTGATAATCTACCTGATAAACGAAGAAAAAAAAATTAGTCATGATCCCTATTAATAAGTATTAATTATAATTTTTATTTTTTAAGCATTGAACAGCTTGATGTTCAAATCTAAAGACCAATTATGCTACCGCGGCCCTGTTGGCCGCGTCGAAATTCTTCTAGCCATTCTGAAGCTTCAAGGCAGCTTTTCCTAGTTATATTTTCTTTAGATTTGACCATCATGTTTCAAGTTTAAAAAATAGAAATGTTTATATATATAATTCTTCTGTGAGTGTGTATGTCAATGAACTTCTCTTAAACGACTGGACCGATTTTGATGAAATTTTTTGTGTGTGTTCAAGGGGATCTGAGAATGGTTTAGATTCACAATTTTGTCCGCTGGACAACCCCTATTTTTTTAGGGCGGTACGAAGTTCGCTGGGTCAGCTAGTTATATCTATAATTGCTATTTCTTCTTTCAAATGTTTGATACTTGTAAAGGTAATCATTTGACTTTGTGGGTTACCTACAATGCGAAGAGATGGCGCTGAAATTCTTCTAGCTATTCTTAAGCTGCAAGAGCTTAAGAATAGCTAGAAGAATTTCGACGCGGCCATCAGGGCCGCGGTAGCATAATTGGTCAGTGCATTCGCCCGGATTGCGAAGGGTGCGGGTTCGAGTCCCGTCTGCTGCCTGGTCCGCGTGGAATTTTTCCAGTTATATTTTTTTTAGATTTGAAATATTAATTATTTTTTTCCCCCCACAGACACGGAAGACCCCCACTGGTGTTACGACAACTTCATCAACTACCGCTCTTTGAAATCCGGAGACAATGTCAGACAACAATTGAGCCGCATTATGGACAGGTAATGTAGTACATTAATAATAATAATAATAATAATAATAAATATATCTTTATTCAAATAAGGTCATACATTGCATAATAATACTAATAACAATATAAAATACAAAATAATGGATGCCTGAACTAGGTTACAGTTAAAATTGTACCTGTATTTCAGGCTTTTATGATCTAAATAATACATAGAATATTTAATAAATTAACAAATTAATTAAAACAGAACTTAAAGTAATCATTATATAAATGTTGGTAATGTAAATAATGGAGTTACGTTCATTTATTTACAAATAAGAAGTAATTCTTCGGTCTGCTCGTATGTCAGGCTGTGCAAATAATTAAATATTACAGTTCTACAGTTAAAATAGTTTACATTACACTAAAGCACGGTAATAATATCATACAGTATTCTATCTTCATACAAACGGTTGGAAAGCGAATCATACCTACGCCACTCGAGTTCGCGGGACTCTCGGGGGACACCCAGTCGCGAATGCGCCGCAGTGACCATCGAACCACGGAGGAAAAACAAAGAGGAGCTGGCCTAAGCAACTGTGCACTGTGATTTTCAACTAGGTCCTGACTAGGGTTGCCACCCGTACTTTATTATAAAGTATTGTACGTTATTTCGGGTAATTGTACTCTATACTTTATGACAACAATAAAGTACGCGAAAATACTTTATTTTATGTGGTTTGATTACTCGGCGATTAACTTTGCATAAAATATACAAAAAGGGATTGATTGGATTTTTTTTTGCGTAAAACGGACAGACTGTATGTATAATATGCCGCCCTTGGCTCATTCTTGTAACATTGTCGTGGCTGTATGGCTTTGTGCCATGACCTTTCCTGTTGCGGAAAAGAACTGCATAATTTTAGAAACTACAAATTATTTATTAGAAGTTGCTAGAAGCAACGTAAAATATATTTTTAAGCTTACTTATAAAGTAGAATAAAAAGTACTTTATTTTGGACACAATGTACTTTTTTTTCTACTTTCAAGTTCCAATATACTTTATTTGGACAAAAAAAAGGTGGCAACCCTAGTCCTGACGTCATCATTGTGGGCGGGGCCTAAGTCAGTATGCTTTCAGCGTTCGTCAGGTGCACACTTAACGAGACTCGCATTATAAGTGTTTTTTTGCGTTTTTAACAAGAAAAGGATGAAGTTTTGTGTTTTACTATGTCAAAGTTACTCAGACAGACGTTCTGATAATATGGATGGCATCACGTTTCATTTGTAAGTAATTTTATACGTAATTAAATATATAAGTTCTATAACATTCTCAGCCTCAGCTATCAGCGTTAAAATTCTACTACTTGACACCAGATGGCGACACTTTTAGGAAGAAAATACACAAGTTTACGTATAATTTTGCAGTAGTATATTGTAATAATCATACGTAAATACTGAAAACTGTTATACACTTATTCCTAAATAACTTTTAGTATCTAAAACAGTAATTTTATCAATATATAACTAACTGGCCGCCATCTGTCGTCATATAGAATAACTTTTTTTAAACGTTACAAATATGCAGGGCCGTAATACGTATTAAATTATTTTACCAAGTAAATAAATTTTAATTATTTTTATGTTCGTTTTAGATTTCCATCCAACGATAATTTAAAACAGCAATGGATTTCAAAACTTAATAGACCGGATTGGACACCATAGAAGAAGAAGATATTTCCATTTTAAATGAATCTTCTGTGCAAAAAATTAATATTACATCAGAACGTTATCGCATTTTAAATAAAATGAGTTTCGAGTCTTCGGATAGCACGGATGTCGAGCCTATGCCTGACGATATGTTATTGGAATTTGATGAACAATTAAATACAACTATAGGTGACTATTTGCGCCGTCAAATAGTAGCATATATTTCTGGGTATGTGGTCAAATATTTACATTCCAAGATCAAATGTGAGAGCTGTCTCAAAGAATTATATGCTGATAACTACGACGATAGTGACCTTGATTTGATAAAATCTAAAAATAAGGGTGGTCTTACTTTCCCATCTAAAGATGTCATAAAAATATGTATACGGACCGAAGACAGTATTCGTTGTGTTAAATCGCAATCTTTGAATACTCCTAACTTTCGTAAACATAAAATTATATCGAATACATTAAAATCACTTATTGGACAAGATTGTTTCAAAAAATCGGCCAACCATATGTTTGACCAATCACCTACAGTTAATCATGTTGTATTTCTGATGAAATCGATTGCAGAAAAATATATTGATATTCGTTTTAAGCATTTTGCCACAATACAAAACGATAGGGCAACCAACCGACAACAACTAACCAAAACTATTATTTACAGGTAATTGATGTTTTTTAATAAAATTATGTTTGTAATAACATTTTGTCTATTATTTTTAAACGGTACCTTAAAATTTAAATCTAAAGAAAATATAACTAGAAAAATATCCACGCGGACCAGGCAGCAGACGGGAGCGGGTGCGGGTTCGACTCCCGTCTGCTGCCTGGTCTGCCTGGATTTTTTTTCATCAAGCAGTTACATGTTTTAAAATAATAAAATTTATACCTTAAAATATTTAAAATCGGTCAAATTTGCCAACGTTTATTTTATTTATTTACCTACATATTTAATTTTTTTGAAGCTTCAAGTTCTGAGTACGTCCCATTATAAACAAAACTTTTGACATCTAGTGTTAGATAGCTGAACTACTACGTAGTAACATAAATATCAACCTAAGCTAGTTTTGCTATTAGCCGATAGATGAAATATTGAGAAGTGGGCGGAGCTGAACACCCCGCATCCCGCAAATTATCACGCGTCGTTTCTTGAGGAAATTTAATCACCACACCTCCTCTTTGTTTTTCCTCCGTGGATCGAACGGTATGAATTGTTTTTGAAGTGAAACTTCTTTATCGGCGTTGGAAAAAAATTTACCGTCACATTTTTATTCGGTTACGCGTCACGTTTTTTGGTTACGCGCCATCTTTTTTTTAAAAGAGCACTATTTACCTCATCCGAACAATTGCTTCTTCTGTCAACTTTAAAAAAAAAGTATCGACAGCAAATATTCGTGTTTCACACAAGGTAAGGTAAGGTAAGGTGTAGTAGTATACCCCTTTAGTGGGTGAGTTTTTGAAAAATCTTAGCGCACGCCTATATATATATTTCTGGAAAGTTGCATTTAGATCATTTTTCGAAAAAAATAAGGCCATAAAGAAGTTTCACTTCTTACGTGTGTACACTAGTACACGCACACATTTTTTTATGCAGTTAGCCGTGCTTATACGTGCGATTTTTATTGTAAATATTTGATTGAATTAAGTAGATACCTACATAATTTAATATGGCAAAGAACAAACGACGATATTGTGCTGTTTTTGGTTGCTTCAACTATTTAATAACGCACCCAGAGATATCATTTTTTAAATTACCTGTAATATTGGAAAGGTAAGACTATAGAATATTTGTTTATATACCTATCTACTAGTACATAATTTGTTTCTAATATTTAGGTATTTCGATTTTTCCATCGGGCAAATTATCTGGAATAATATATAAATAAGTGGTTAGGATGAAAAAAAATGGGTGCGTGTACTTATGTAGGCGCGTGAGAAGTTATCCTTCTTTGGCATCGTTTGAAATTAGTTTTTAATTGCATGCAAATAATTAATTACAATAAATTAATAAAAAGACTGGAAAAGGACACAGTCAATAAAGTTCAGTTTTAATTTGAAAAAATAAATAAATAATCAAAATATTCAATTAAAATCGCTACTGAATATAATTTATTAGAACATATGTGATTTGCACTTGTATGAAACTCAAACACGTATTCCGAATATACAAACTAGAAACATGTGGATAAATATTATAAATATGAATACCTATAACTGTTACTTTATTACAAAAAATAAAGATGTGGTTTTTGGTTCTACTACACCAATGGTCAAGAGATGGCGCTGTAGTCTCCTGAATCGCGCTTTGGTTCCGTTGTTCCAGATTAATAAATACTTTTGATAGGCCTTCACAATGCAGTCGTTAGCACCCACAAAATAGAGATTCTACTTTGTTGGTAGATTTTCTTAATGTGCGGTAAACACAAAAGTAACAGCATGAAGTTGGTCGCTTTAGCGTTAATTTTTTGTGTTGCAGTGATGCGCGCGCATCTTAAAATTTCACTCTCATCATTTTTTCATAACGCGCCTAAAGAAGTATAACTTCAAAAAGACACAAACGAGTAATCTACCTACACTCGCGTTAAAAACAAAACTACCTACATAAAATACTGTAGGCGGGCGGCCCTACCGCGTGCTAACGCAGCGCTCGGCCGTAGGCATTTATTTCAAGGACAGGGCGGAGTCACAATACTGTATAGATAATATTACCGTGACTAAAGTCTTTAGATTTAAACATCAAGCAGTTACATGCTTTAAAAATAATAAAAATTATAACTATAATTGCTATTTCTTCTTTCAAATGTTTGATACTTGTAAAAGTATTCATTTGACATTGTGGGTTTACCTATAATGCGAAGAGATGGCGCTGCCTTGCAGCTTAAGAATAGCTAGAAAGAATTTCGACGCGGTCCCTGAGGGCCGCGGTAGCATAATTGGTCAGTGCATTCGCCCGGATTGCGAAGGGTGCGGGTTCGAGTCCCGTCTGCTGCCTGGTCCGCGTGGAATTTTTTCTAGTTATATTTTCTTTAGATTTAAAGTCTGTTTTATAATCACAGAGACAGAATAGTACATCTATACTAATATTATAAAGCTGCAGAGTTTGTTTGTTTGAACGCGCTAATCTCTGGAACTACTGGTCCGATTTGAATGATTCTTTCAGTTTTGAGTAGTCCATTTATCGAGGAAGGCTATGGGTTATATTTTTTTTTTTCAAATTAGGTATCCGTAATAAAATTGCTATTTTGTAACACAAGGTGTAAAATCGAAAACCTATTTTTGCGTGCGCTGCAAAAACTATTGACAATAGAACAAAATGATGTACTACGGGTTTGTAGATCCCATTAAGACCTACAAAAAAGTCCGCGAGAACATATATCTAGCTATCATGGTTTAATCACAATAACCGATTTTGTGTTCAAAATAATTATTAAATCGTCTGAAGAAAAAAAAACTACGTTAAATATGTATCGTAATATAAATCTTTATCGAAATGAAGCATTATGTTATCAAGAGTATTTATGTAGAAGTAAAATACTTTTTGTTTCATCTCAATCGGATATTTCGTTTAAAAGTTATCACGTGTGTAAGATGTTAAAAGTTGATACCTATATATTTTATCTCGGTATTTCCACGGTAACGAGAAAAACGCATGTGAAACCGCGGGGCACAGCTAGTTATGATATAAGTGCGGTAAGTTGAGAATTACAGCCTAGGCGATATTGTCAGCCCGATCCGTAGGTGAGGGCTATAAGAAGGCAAAGGCTGTAATTATCAAACCGCACGTATGTCATACGACGTTTTATAATACACTAGCTGACCCAGCGAACTTCGTACCGCCCTAAAAAAATAGGGGTTGTCCAGCGGACAAAATTGTGAATCTAAACCATTCTCAGATCCCCTTGAACACACTCAAAAAATTTCATCAAAATCGGTCCAGTCGTTTAAGAGAAGTTCAGTGACATACACACTCACAGAAGAATTATATATATAAAGATTTGCGAGGAAATAACACTACCTACGTACGTACTTTCTGAAAATTACTTTGCACCTTTGTTTTTCCATAAGATGAAATTTTGATACGCTTGACTGTAAGTATCTATCCGTGGATTTTTCGGGCAATAGGCTTAGCGCAGCATTTTTCGACTTCTGGCGGTGTCAAGTTATTAACTTCGTTACTTATTGACAATATTTTCAAATAAAACAATACAGCGAAAAGAAAAAGCAATAACTTGTAAAGAAAAGTTTACTAGAAAAAAAAAAGTTGTTTCTTGTAAACTTTTCTTTAGATTTAAACATCTAGCAGTTAAATGCTTAAAAAATAAATAAAATCATAAGCAATAACTTTTTCACGCGCATCGCTAATCAAAAAACAGCCAGTGTTACTAATAAAGTAAATTAATATTTTTGTGGATTTGTTACCGATATTGTATTTGTTTTAAAAATTTGATGCTGATTATCTATTTAATTTTTTAAGGAGCTCGATGGCGCAGGTGGTTAGCGCGTTCGGCTGCGATCGATGAAGTTAAGCAACTTTCGCAGTGGTCGGTCATTGGATGGGTGACCAAAAATTTACTATCTCGAGCTCCTCCGTGCTTCGGAAGGCACGTTAAGCCGTCGGTCCCGGCTGCATCTGCAGTCGTTAGCACCCACCAATCCGTACTGGGCCCGCGTGGTGGGTCATGGCCCGATCTCCCATTTTCCATCTATAGGGAAGGCCTGTGCCCCAGCAGTGGGACATTAATAGGCTGATGATGATCTATTTAATATTCATACCTGTATAATTAATATTTGCATGCTATTTGAAATGGTTAACTTAAAAAGTCCTTACAATGATTTGGATGACCAACGAATCTACCCAATTTGCAGCAAATAAATATTTTTTTTTAATAGATAGGTCCGACAAATGACTCCACCCCACCTGATGTTAAGTGGTGGTGAAGTCCAGCCGTGAAGATAGCTGGTAAAGCAGTTCTACCTGCCACACCAGCCATCCTCACCCTGCCGGCCTGCATGTTGCTTCTTTTATTTAAAACTAGTGGCCCGCCCTCGCTTCGCTTCGGTGTAGCTGTAGTGTAAACTATAGTTTTTGTTCTCAGGCTTGTGCTATAAAAAATGACTTTATTTATATAATTGCACGTGTTATTGTGAGTCAACCATAAAAGATAGACATATGCTGTTGCGGGATATTTTTTAGACAATTTTATGTAGAATATTTCCGTCATACATGATTTCTATGTAACTTTAACCATTAAGGCTGCACACGCGACGGAAGCTTAAAAAATGGAGTAACTTCTCCCGTTTTCCCAACATTTGCCTTCACTACTCTGCTGCTATTGATTGTAGCGTGATGAAAAGTATACTATAACCTGCCCAGGAGTATGAAGAATAATTGTACCAAGTTTCGTTAAAATCCGTCGAGTAGTTTTTGTTTCTATAAGGAACATACACACAAACAGACAGACAGACAGACAAAAATTTTACTGATTGCACTTTTGGCATCAGTATCGATCACTAATCACCCCCTGATAGTTATTTTTAAAATATATTTCATGTACAGAATTGACATCTCTACAGATTTATTATAAGTATAGATGTATATTATATAAAACAAGTTTCAACGGCTTAGATGCGCTTGATTTTATTTATTGACGTTTCGCAGCCATTTTTTCAAGTCTGCGTTGTCTGAATAATGATTTTTATTAACTTTGTCGAGCTACCTTCGAAAGACTTTTATTGAGCGTTCAGATATTTAATTGGAAGATTTTTAAAAACTTTATTGTCTATGTATGAACTTCTTAGCTAATTTAATTAACAAAGTCATCATTATCATCATCAGCCTATTAATGTCCCCACTGCTGGGGCACAGGCCTTCCCTATGGATGGAATAGGGAGATCGGGCCATGACCCACCACGCGGGTTGGTGGGTGCTAACGACTGCAGATGCAGCCGGGACCAACGGCTTACCGTGCCTCCCGAAGCACGGAGGAACTCGAGATAGAAATTTTTCGACCTCCTCCGGTCGAGATAGTAAATTTACGGTCACCCATCCAATGACCGAACACTGTGAAAGTTGCTTAAATTCAACGATCGCAGCGGAACGCGCTAACCACTTGCGCCACAGAGCATTTATTAACAAAGTACTTTATTAAAAATTCTTTTTTATAATTTTAAGTTTGACCCTAACTGGTTTTATTTTATGTGCGTGAAAACCTAAGAAACAAATATGTATATAATATTTATCTAAGGGGAAACCACCCAATCATTGACACTCTTCCTATTATTGGCACTTTTGAGTTCAATTCAGAAAAACAAGGAGACAATAGATTATTCGAGGTCGTTACATATTACAAAGAAAAACCTAGTATGGTTTTGAAATTTGAAAATTGGCAGCATTATCTATCTATATTTCCTATTCTATATATCTATTAGCTAACTCGGCGAACTTCGTACCGCCCAAAAGTAATAATTTGCAATAAATTAAAATTGCGACTATAATTTGAGATTTAAACTATGCTATCTCTCAAATTGGATCGAACTGCACATGGTGTGCGAATTTTATTATAATCGGTTCAGTGGTTTAGGAGTCCATTGAGGACAAACATTGTGACACGAGATTTATATATATTAAGATTGTTTCTTGTTTTTTTCGAACTAAACTCAAAAGTGCCAATAATAGGAAGAGTGTCAATGATTGGGTAGTTTCCTCTATTTATTCTATAAATCATTTCTCGTGATCCAAAACACGCTTGTACCGTTTTTCACAAATATTTTCCTTACCGTTTCCAGGTTTAATTTGAAGAGGACGAGCACAGAGTTCACGAGTAAAGACTATTATATCAACATTAGGAAGGCTCTAGTCAACGGATTTTTTATGCAGGTAAACGTTTCATTAAGTTTTAAAAAAATTTTATTGTATTCAAATATTTTTTTATGGCTCGCGGCTGTATTTACTTAAACTGCAGCAGTGGAGTTTCGTGAAAGGGCTCTTAAATTTGACAACAGTGTATCTTTGTCACACTCTATACAGAATGAAAGGGAGAGACTATAAATATAAAATTAAGTTTATAGAATAATAAATAAATAAATATTTCTGACACTTACACCAAGCTTAGCCCCAAAGTAAGGCTTGTGTTATTGGATGCCAGGGTAACGGATAGAATACATATACTGACACATATATAAATACATATTAAATATCCATGACTGGAGTGCAAATGCTCGTATTCATCACACTAAAATATCTGCCCACACCGGGATTCTAATTACGCCAGAATCGACACCAATAACTTTGTCTTTCCATTTATAATTATTTTACAACTACACAACTATTGTACAATTATTTTCGCTTGGCAATATACACCGTGTTCCTGAGGTTATACACTAACTGGCATGTTATTCAGACTATAAAATTGCTCATTTTTTAGTATGGACAATTTTATGAATTCCAATCTTTAACATTTCTTATTTTCATACAAAATAAATGCTTAGATGTAATTTATCTAATATGAATTACTATTTACCCGAGCTGGCAACGTCGCATTTGAAACTTTGGTTCACATGTCCACATAAACTTTTTGAAACTTTTCTTGACGTCAACAATGTTTTTAAAATTTAACTTTTGAAACTATGACTTAATGGCCATTGACAAAGAGTTGATGGTTTGATAGTTTTGGTTGCACAAAGTGGCAACATCTCACAGATAAAGAGTCTTTTACTGCACAATACAATGAAGTTGGGTAAACTTAAATTACCAATAACTTAAAAACTATGCTATTTAAACTACTACTTTCTTTGTACGATATGTTTAACAAGAGCTATAGAAGTATTATTCAAAGTTGATGTATATCCTCAGGAACACTGTGTATAGTGCCAGGCGAAAATAATTATACATTACTTCTTTACATAGATACAATTGTTAAAATATCTGTATTTTTATCCTTTCAGGTTGCTCACCTAGAACGAACCGGTCACTATTTAACCGTCAAAGACAATCAAGTTGTACAACTGCATCCGTCGACCTGCCTCGACCACAAACCTGACTGGGTGCTCTACAACGAATTCGTGTTGACCACCAAGAATTATATCAGGACTGTCACCGATATCAAGCGTGAGTTTATATATTGTGTTATTATATTATACTAGCAGCCCGCCCTCGCTTCGCTTCGGTGTAGACTACAGTTTTTGTTCTCAGGCTTGTATTATACACAATGACATTCATCTATGATTTTTCTTATACCTGCATGCAAAGTCTCAGCCCGATCGGTTTAAAATTGACAAAGTTTCATGCAAACTTTCATTCCCTATTTTATCCCCTTGGGGGTAGAATTGATCAAAATCCTTTCTTAGCGGATGCCTACGTCATAACATCTACCTGCATGCCAAATTTCAGCCCGATCCGTCCAGTGGTTTGGGTTGTGCGTTGATAGATCACTATGTCAGTCAGTCAGTCAGTCACCTTTGAGTTTTATATATATAGATTGTGCAAGCGCACACTGGTTCGTGAGAAATATGAAAATACATGAATATCTAAAGATGACTACCGCTATTAGGGAAGAAATTAGCGAAAATAGCTAGAGATACAAAAAGAGATTATACAATCATATAATGCGATACAACTAAGAATAGGACCGACTGGGCGCCATATTGTGATGTCATAGCTGTCAATTCAAACCAAATTGGTAAAGTGAGCAAAAAAAAGTTTTTATTTAATAAAACTTATTTACTAAGATTAAGTGAGAAAAAGCATCAGATTTTTTAAATAACATTAATTTAATAATATTTATTTATTAAGACTGTGAGAAAAAACGTTAATCAGAATCTAGCTCTTCTATTCCGCTCATCTCTGCATTACCGCCGGAGTAGTTATGAATAATCATGCACTATTACTAGGTCACATACGAACATGCATCCTATATGTAAACGAAAGTTTGAAATCGAGTTTCTGAACGCAACTTAAAGTGACATTTGGTTGACGATTTAGGTTATCATCCATTCATAGCCAAAGCTCAATAAGTGAAAAAAAAATATCAACCGATATTAATTATCAATATTTGTTATTGTTTGTTTACAAATGTTTGTTTTTTATTCTTGAATTAGCGGAGAGCTAAAAAAGGGTTCCAAGATTTTTTTATGCAAACCGTACTTTTCAAGCGACATTTGACAGATAGAGGTCATTGGCTTTCCTATTCTTATTTGAATCGCATTATACTAATGTACTTGGCAAAAGACCTGAATTCAAGTTTCAATTTGAAACGCCTAAAATTAAAATTTTACTTCAATTGTTTTTTCAATTTCAATGGGGATATTCAATGGAATGTTGTTATAACGTAACAGATTTTAAGTTATTAACATCGAAAGTAACTTTAAAAGTAATTTAAGTTTAAATGTAACAATAGAATAAGAAAGCACGTGACCTGATGAAGCATTAAATTAAATTGAGTCAGCTGTTCATACCATTGAATCATCATTATCAGCCTATTAATGAATCAGAATCAGAATCAGAAAATTTATTGCATTTCATGTGGTAAATAAGGTCTAACATTATTATATGGTACAAACACATGAGTCCTGTTAGGACATAACAATATTGAACTTATAGCTAAAATTAAATTTATGTCAACATTATAAGTAGTAGTATATTAACAATTATCAAATAAATATCAAGTCAATTTTAACAATAATAATTAAGAATAATAATAAGAATAATAATAATCAGCATGTCAAGGTGTCTTTAATATTTGAAATTATTTAATAGTCCTATAGTATTCACACAATTTATAAAAACATTTATTAACAAGGTAATCATTTAAGGTTGTAACAAACTTATCGTATTCGTCTATCTGTCTAATATGCTTTGGTAACTCGTTGTACAATTTAATCGCCATTGAATACGGCCCTGATCCAACTATTGATAGCGTAGTTTTTGGTACTACAAATTTATATCTACTTCTAAGTTGTGTTGATCCAGTATAATTATCTTTACGATTTACAAAAATATTTTGGTTCTTTTTTACTAGTTTACATGCTTCCAGGATATATAAAGACGTTACAGTTAGTATTTTATATTTTATGAAAAATGGTCTACAGCTTTCCATTGTATCTATATTGGCCATGATTCTTATACATTTTTTTTGTAGCGTAAGTAATTTAGGAGCATCCGAACTGTTTCCCCAAATAGGTATGCCATATCGCAACCATGATTGTGCATATGCGAGATAAGCTATTCTGGCAGTGTGTGTATCAGTTGATCTTTTTAACTCATTTAGTGCATAGATGAATCTGGATAGTTTATTTGATATATATTCAATATGACTTTTTCAGTTAAAGTTGCAGTCTATATGAACTCCTAATAATTTAAAATTGTTTACATGCTCTATCTTTCTACCCCGTGTTGTGAAGTTTATTTTAAGAGGTTTCTTTTGATATGGTTGAAATACCAATATTTTAGTTTTTTCAAAATTTATATTAAGGTTGTGGTCATGTCCCCGCTGACCTTCCCTATGGATGGAATAGGGACATTGGGCCGTGAACCACCACGCGGGCCATTTGTGGATGCGGATTAGTGGATGCTAACGACTGCAGATGCAGCCGGGACCAACGGCTTAACGTGCCTTCCGAAGCACGGAGGAGCTCGAGATAGTAGTAGATAAATTTTTGGTCACCCATCCAATGACCGATTACTGCGACAGTTGCTTAACTTCAAGGATCGCAGCCGAACGCGCTTACCATCTGCGCCATCGAGCTCCTCTACCACTGAATGGAATGCACTATAATTTACCAGATAATAAATTAAAGTAGTAATTAAGTCGTAAAGAAAGACAGGATTTTGCCTTCATTTACCCTCTCTGTGGTTAAAATAGGAAATGAGAGATGATTCTACATTTCATCTATGTCAGTAATAACAAAATTTTTTCCTCAAAAGTAGTGATGCAACAAATACTACTAATAAAAGACTAATTTATAAATTTTCTATTTGTTTTATCATAGTAATAATTAAAATTTAGTAACTGTCAAAGAAAACAACATCTGTAGATGCGCTGGTGCCCGGCGATTTTAATTTCCCCTTAAAAATTTTAACTTTTTACTCTGATACTTCAATTTTGACAGAAAATGTATGAAACTTATGTCAAATTTGACATTTGTTGTATCTGAAGAATTTGAGATGCGTACATTTTTTATTTATAGTATTTATAGTGTTAAATAAATATATTAATTCGTGGAATATGAATATTTAGTAAATTCGAACATTCTTATTTGTATATTGTTTTAAACTTTCATGGTCACTAACATTATGGCTATTAACAGGATTGTTACCACGAAATATCGGAGACTCATAAAAAACAAAGTACATGGTAACAATCCCGTTCATAGCCATAATTCTTATTTGTATATGTTGGCTAAAAATTTAATTTGTTTAATCTCTTTTCCAGCCGAGTGGCTTCTCAAGATAGCCCCACAATACTATGAGCTGAACAACTTCCCGGTTTGTGAGGCTCGTAGACAGCTCGAGCTGCTTCAAGCTCGGCTCGAGTCAAAAGTTTACCAGGACGGATTCTAGGCTGACCGCCTTACATTACCGAACTGCGGATAGTAAATAACCAATGGATGCAGTGTAGTGATTGTCGGAAACAGTGCAGTGGTGTCACAGTGACGGTGTACAGTGATTCGTGAAGTGGAAAATGTGTGCAAACTTTAGACGGATACTTGGGATATTGAAGACTTCAGAAGTTACTTTGTTAGGGAGAAGATACATCTGTCTTAATTATGATTGGTTTAATATAATTGGCTATTTTATTATCAAGGATATGATTCATGGATGATATGAATGAATACCAGTGGCGGCGCTAGACCACATGTGGACGTCGGCGACATCAAGTTCGCGAGGCCTATTTTACTTCGCAGTAAAAAACCGTTAAATTAAGTGAGCCAAATTATAAAATAACGTATGAGTAAACGAGTTTTATTGTTGATAATCAAATGATGACAAAAAATAATTACAAACATAGAAATTTAATTACAAAAATAGTGTTGCCAGACAGACGATTCTGAATACCCGTAAAGTACCTACTAATCGCTTCCATCACGCACGTGTTCGAAAATAATAAAAGTCATTATCATCTGCTTAGCTTAGCCAGGCCAGGAGAAACGAAAATAAATATGTAACTTGTAAAAAATTTTTGCGAGGCCCCCTCAGGCGCGAGGCCGTCGGCGGTGGCCGACGTCGCCGACGCCTAGCGCCGCCACTGATGAATACATACAGACATAGTTCATTATAAACATCAACATTATGTTGTTATCAATATTACAAGTTTATGTGTACATAATCTCCTATAATATTTGGAAATGTGAAATAAATAAGGAATTTCTAATTACAATTTGTAAATCCATTCAAAAAAACAATGGTAATACACAACATTGAATTAAGAAACGTGTAATATCCAGCTATGAAATATTATGAAAATTGTAGTAGACTCCATCTGCATTTATTTGTAAAGCAAATTTCTTCACATACTCACAAAGGTACATTATGTTGATAATGGCCCACATACAATCACTTTAATGTATACGTATGATTACACCCACGAAAGACAAATTTAAGCGATTCAAAGTATTCATTAAATAAAACGGAAAGATTAAACTTTACAGACTTTGTTAACGAAGATGCCGCTTGAAGAAAGTACTATGTTATTGGCATTGTATATTTATGTCGTAAATACTGAATAACTTTATCATTTCCAATGCTTTTCCATAAAATTTGATGTAAGATTTTAAATTTTATATGATAATTTGTATGTCTGTGTTAAGTTAATTGAACAAATTAATTCATATTGATATACTATCATTAGTATATAAAAGTGTCGGTTTGGAAAACCGAAAATAGGATTTTCTTGTACAAAAAAGACCTAGAGTTATTATTAAAACATTTTTAAAGCGAGGCGTGCATTTCTATTCAAAACTAAAAAAAGTCCCCAACCGGGTGGTGTGTATCAATTTGACGTTTATAAACAGTAATTATTTTATGCATTACGCTGCTTGATTGAAAAAATCTTAAACCAAAACCCAACTGAATGGAATTTATATAGTAATATAGTTAAACTTTAGAGTGATTGAACTTTAGACCAGACAGCAGACGGGACTCGAACCCGCACTTTGCTATCCGAGCGAATGCACTGACTTTTAATATGTAAACCTTTCTATTTTTATTTGAAAATAATTCTTTGCTTTACTCATGTCATATAAATTAATATTGTTTACCCTGTGACGTCTTTGTGTGTGTGGTGTATTGTACTTTCAGTAAAGTGAAAAGCTCGAGGAAGACCTTATTTACTTTATACCACCATAATCTGTTTCTATAATCTCCTTCCCAGCAGTCTTCGTGTCTCTCTCACTAATGGACGTTGGCGAAATTTCTGTGTAAAACGGAGAAGGCCACGGACACAAAAAAAATGGTTCGGTCTAAGGGTACTGGTAATAAACTAAATATTTGGAAAATCCAAAAGTGCACGCCTGCAAACAGAAACCCAGTAAATAAAATCCATTCTATTTCATTAATATCTTTAAAACGGTTATCAGTTCAATCATGATGAGTGAGATGAAATAGGGTTCATCCTCAGTATAAGTAGAAATTAATTCAAAAGAATTTATTACAATTAATTGCGTATATTTTTCTAAAACGTGCAGACAAACAAGTGCACAGACCAACGGACAGCAATACTAATAATTTTTTAACTAGATTTTTTTGTTATATAAATACTAAAAAAAATAATGAAAAATACGCTTACTTTATAATTTAATAGGTCTAGTTTTCAAAACACCCCTTTTTATTGATTTAGTGTCTAACTTGGGAGATAAGAGCGATTTTATATTGTAAAACCATCACATAGCGGCCTATCGAGAGTAAAACTCCCACATGCTTACGTGTTGTGAGGCGTGCAATAATATTGGTGAAAAAAAGCTTTTCGATTGACATGTCTGTCCGTCTGTCTCATCATTAATAAAATAACGCAATAATTAATAAAATAATTATATAATAATTATTAATTGTTAGTTAATTTTATTCGCAATAAATAACTGGAACCAAAATTTGTACTGATCATCATCTTCTGAATTTCTCGTGTATCTTTGGAAATTGGCTAAATTTCTGTAGAAAACAGAATAAGCAACACAGTCAAAAGAAAATTAACACACCCCTTTTTACGTTGGAGGTTAAAAAATAAACTTAAATGTAGAAGAAGACTACACTTTCCATTTGGGTATTATAATAATAGTTGTAGCTTTGAGAAGAATCATGTAAGTGTATTGCTTAATTTTTGACAGACTAGAGAAATTATATAGACTGCGATGCATTTCAAAATTTGTTTTAGGCTATAATAGGGGTGATGACGGGGTACAGTAAACGAAATTCTATTTAGTCCGTCAGTTAGATGATCAAATAATAATGGACACGTATTTTTTCTTTAGGCAATCAACCTGGTTTGGGAGTAGGGGCTTGTGACGTCACTTTTAAGTGAAATTTGTACCAAAACGTGACGTCATGCGACTTTTCAAATCAATATTATCTGCAATGTTTATATTATGTGAAAAAAGAAAAAATACATGTCCAATATTTTTTGACAACTTAGAAAAAAATTTGTCATCATCCCTATTATCTCGTCAACTGTGTAAGCAAAATAGTGTTCTAAACCCTGTCTGTGACAGCCCTTCATTATGTTTTTCACGGCCGGAAAATGATTTTCCTCTTACTGTTCACGTTCTATTGTACATCCAGCCTTCATTTATGTCTTAAATCAATCCTAAATAGTTTCTCTACAAACTTATATATATATTAAATGTGTAAATTAAAAACCAATACTAAATATCATTAAACGCAAAGTGTGAAAAAATTAAAATAATTTTCTCAACACACGACAGTAATCTGCCATTTACACAGGATGTATTCCGTAATATATACCAGTATACTGGCCAGTGCTAATGACGTCATGAATCGACGCTATACTGGTGAATTGTTCTGAAATATATTGGCCAGTGCACTGACGTCCTAAATCGAGGAAATATTAAAAGTAGTGCGAACAAAGAAGATTTTATATTCACCTCATCAATTATAGTATTTTCAACTTCTATAATTTAAAATTAATTTTATTAAGAATCCCTTGTCGTGTAGTGGCTATCTACGTGAAATTGGCAGAATTGTGGGTATATCCATGTTGAGCCATTAAAAGGAATTCTTTTTGTTCGGATGCTGTAATAATAAAATAAATGAAATGAAATGGTGTCAAATGTAATAGAAAATAAATTTTTTTAATGGATAGGCTGAAATTAATTAAATAGAATACTCGGGCGCTAGACCTACCACATTATTATACCATATTAGCAGGGAAAGCATCGAACTATTAATCGCAAAGGGGGTTTAATGCAAATCCATACTCATTTTGGGTTGTCTATATATTGAAATTTACTACAAAATTACCTACGTCCAAAAGGGTTACTGCTAAATTTAGAAACTATTATATATACTATGACGCTACCAAGAATAAAATGAAAATTTACCTTATTAGGGTTTTGGTACAACAATAAATTTGGAAGATTACCGACCTCGCTGCATGCTCGATGGGTAGGTATGTCTGGTGTTGAGAATATTTAAGGATGGCCGTTCAAACTGCTGGTTACGTCACGGGGCTGTTCACTTCCACATCATGGGAAATGTTGAAATTGAAGTAAAAATAAAATCCAAATAAAAAAACGCTTTTCGCTGGAAATAAACATTCCGTAGATTAGCACATGGCTCACAACAAAGGGAAAAATGTAAAACTAAGGAAATTACTAAGGTTCTTACCGTTTTATAAACAAATTAAGCTTGGGTCACGGCCCTCGCCATTTTGTACGAATGATGCAAAATGTTTCATCATTAAAAACAATCGATAATGTAACGGTTTATCAAGTTAAAAATTTAGATTATGAAATGACCATCTTTTGGTCTAAATTTTCGTCGTGAAGTGAAGTGATATTAGTTTTTTCCTAAGTTCGTTTTCTCTTTCCGGGTAGGCAAAGAGAACAACGTCCATACAGCTTACTGCTTGATTAAGGCAGAAACATAATTATTCAAAAGTGCATAGATTAAAGAAAATGGACTTGAGATAAAAGCGAACAGAGAGAGACAACCTAAGAAAGTCTTCTATCTCGCTCTTCGAGCGAAGGAGATTCATGTAACGTTTTTAACACGTTACAATGCCATTATTGTTATTTAAATAAACTATACCCTGTCTGCGCGTCGCGCTTCGCGCTCTTGCATTGCGCAGTCGGGTAATAAAAAAGAAATAAAATTCGAATGCATCTCACACCAGCTCGGTCATACGTCATATTCGTTTTCCCGGTAAAAATATGGTAGCATACTAGTACAATATGGCGTCGGATTCGTGACGTCATCACCACTGGCCAGTATACTGATGTATACTTCGGAATACCCACAGACCAGGCGGTTTGAATGAATGAATGAAAATTTACTTATTATTCAAATTGATTTGTAAAAAAGTTTCGATTGACCATTTGATTGACTTTATTAAGAAACTTTGAATGTAATTTTATCTTAACTATGTTTAAAGATTGCTGTTAATGTAAGAGTTACCTTGAGTATAACGATATTTTAGGTGTCCTATTTTTAAAATTATTAATTTCATTAGATACCAACGATATTAAATACCCTAGATACACCACGAGCGCTCAAAATGTGTCCCAATCAAGAAGTGCTTGAACTCCACTCAAACACTTCTTGATTCACAGTCACGCGCGGACCGTTGAAAAGTAAAGATGCCGCAGAGCTCCGTAAAAAAATACGAAAAAAATATTAATAGTACGTAAAGTGTCGTTTTTGGGTCGATTTCACGAATCGAATTAAAATGATACATTTTATAAGAGTTTTTTAAAACACCGTGTAAATGATATCTGATGGTGCGGAACGTTTACCAAACTCAAATTATACCCCTAAGTTTTAAAAACTTTGGGGGGAATTGAATACTTTTAAAGATATTAAAAAATTATCTGACACGAATGAGTTGATGGTTACACTAATGAAATTACATGATTTACAAATGAAATGTGGGTGACACTAATGAGAGCCACTTGCATATTAGTTTGCATCTTATACCACATTACTATTTAAGTACTTATTGTTGGATTTATGTGATAATAATGTCCCACCCAATAAAAAGGACATTTTTCTAAAAATGTTTAGTAATTCAGTTTGAAATAAAAAAGAACAATATACTAAAAAAATCACATTTATTGAATCAACGAAGTAATTATTGTTATCCAGTTTTTTATTTATTAATCTTTGGAACCACAAATTATTTTATATTTTAAATAATATTAACGCATTCATTAAACTCTAACAAAAATAAAAATAATTAACTAATTAACAATTCTATCCTTGTAATTTATAATTTTTGGAATCATAATACTTCTTTTCTTAATTTTCTTGATTTGGTTAAGATATAAAATTTTTGATATTAAAATTAATCACAATGTTAGTGGTATTTGTTTGAGGTAGTTTAGAGAAATATTACAATTAGACAAAATAATAATTAGAAATATGATTAGAGTAAAAAAAGTAAAGCAAAGTAAGTAATCACTGTGAGGCGTGTAATAATGAATAAAACTTGCATTTTTTATTTCTTCTGATTAGACATGGCATTAATAAAATTAATAAATTCTTGTTCGTGCTCACCCGTTTTCAATTGGCTATTAACAAAGGTCTGATTTTCCCAGTGATTTCTTACTTTTGCAAGTGTAACAACGTTTTGGTTTTTACGAATTTGGCGTAGCCCAGATGTAGATGGCTTAGGAGACTCGTTGAATTGCAGGGTTATGTCCTCTAAAACATGAATTTGCTTGCTGGCTGGAACAATTTTTACATTTTCGACAGATGATGCGATTGCACTCTTATAAATCTTATGCAATTGCATATGTTTATTGTCATGGTGGCAGATTTCTTCAATACACAAAAAGCAGCTTAATTTTCTGAATTCAAGGAAGTCAGAATGAATATTCCAGAGTACCTGATGTACCGACATGGTTCCTTTAAATGGCGAAATATCCTTAGGCAACATAATTTCTTTTTCTATAATGTCAGCTTCGTTGACTACTCTTATTTCAACGTTTTTAACGTTTTCTTTTACGACGGCAAGAAACTTTGTAAAGTCACCAACGTCATTTCCACATTTTACCTGATAATCTGCCGACCTTTTTACTACCGCACCAATGCCATCAGGTGCTCCTTTTCCGTGGCCGCTTTCTTGAAAATTCCATGTTACACATTTAAGAGATGGAAAAGTATTATGAAGTTGAGTAATAATGTAAAATATTTGTTTATTCCTGTACTGACTGGTTGGACTGTCTGTGAGAATATGAACGGTGGTAACGGATGAACACTTTTCAAATACAAATTTTAAAGCATTCTCTAAGTGGGCCCATACTGCTGGTGCATCATGTCGCGTACACTCGCTTACGGTACAGAAAGAATAGTGAGCATTGTCTCTTCCTTCCTTAAGGTAGGCCACTACCGTATGAAGAGAAACTTGTCCTCGGCTGCCTCCGAAGTGTAAGCTTTGTATTTCTTTAGCGAATTTATAACAATAATTTTCGGAGAAGTCCATATGTAGTAAAGTTTCATTAGGGCTCAGAGACTGTTTTATCATTGTTATAGCTTGGTATTGATTGAGTATATTCCCTGTATGAACAAAAAACTTCGGCAATGATGATTCTAATTTTTGTATAAGATTTCTAGGATTTATTTTTTGAGAAACTTTCTTGACAACGTTGATATCTTTGGCCCCGACTTTCTTTTTATCTCGGACCCATTCATAATATTCTATTTCTTCCTGGTTATCAAATTCTTTGTAAGCTATCGATTCATTTTTGCAGACATCACATTCGCGAGCAACACACTTAGCAGAAAATTTGGTGCAGCACAGGACTCCTAGCATTTCTTGATAATTTCTTAGATCAATAATTTTATTTTTCCTTAAAGCATGAATAATTAGGTCTATGTTAGTATGAGTAGTGCAAGCACACGTGTCTCTATCATCTCTAGGCAGATATACCCAAAATGGTCGAAGTCTTGAGAAAGTTACGTAACTGATTTTTATTAGAGGATTTTCTTCGAGAAACTTTTTGTGCAGATTTTTAATCGAGTCCAACATATACCGTTTCTGTTTCTGAATTCCATACTTTTTCACACATTGTTTCTTTCCTGCGCCAATACGACTATTGATATCATCTTCATAATATTCTTTAACTAATTTTTGAATATCACCCCCGCTTTTATTTATTTCTTTCAGAAACCTGTCATTTAAACACTTTTTACGAAGGTCTAAATTATTTTTCTCTTTTGTTTTAATTATATTTTTCGTTTTAGCCTGTACAGCTTCTTTATCACAATCAGAATGGGGTGATGGAGCGGGGAGTTCAAGATGATTATCATCGTTAATATTATCTTTTTTATTTTTTAGTTTCTGGCTCAGTATTTTATTTACTCTATTTAAAATTCCACACCTATTTTTATATTTTTTGATTAAAAATGACAATTCTTTTTTTTCTTTTAAATGTTTAAGCTTTAATAATTTAATCTTGTTTTTATAATACTGGGTTCCCTTTTTATTATCTGTTTTTATTGTACATTCCTTAAGAGGATCACTCAAAGAATCAACCGTTCCTTTACTATTTTCGGCGGCTGGAGAATCGTCAATATTAATTTCATTTATTTGTCGCTCCTTGATTTTTTTTTCTAAGTATCGTTTAGAACTTTCTTTCCATCGCCTCCTTTGGACTTTTTGTTCCCGTGGGGACATATCTTTTATGCTCTTTACTTTATTTTGAATTTTTCGTTTTAAATAGGCTTCTCTCTTTTTTTGCTGTTCAATAGAATATCTCTCTGGGTTGGCTTTTAATTTTTTATATCTTTCCCGCCGCGCCACCCTTTTTCTTTCCAGGTCTTCTTCACGAGATTTTCCCTTTGCCATTTTGACCTTAAACAAATTCGCAAAAAAAGATGTAAGATGCTTTTAGTTTGGACGGGCTAGATAACCTAAGCTTAAGTAACATGTAGGTAGGTACTCAAAAAGTTATTTTATTTAACTGCAAACGACTATGATTATATAATTGCAAGCTAATGTATTGGTAAAAAAAAACATAATCGGTACACGAGAGCCAGAGATTACCCCTAAGATCAAAAACTTAGAGGTGAAGTTATAATAAAATAAATAAATCATAGCTTTACAGTAGGTAGCAAGAAAACACAAGTGTGCATTATATAAGCATATAAGAAATTGATGATGAAAAAAAAATACTCGGATCATTTGGGTAAAATTGCATATCATTAGTGTCCCTATAAAATCGACACTAATGAGGCGACACAAATGATTTTTTGAAATGAAAATTGAAATATTTCGTCGTCGAATAATCTAGAAGCTATCGAAAAAATACACCGAATCTGTGTCACAAATAGCTATTCTTTGCACATTACTGCAATACTACTGAAAAATAACTATTGCCTGCATTGCACTGGACGCAAATGAATACATTTTGGGTGCAAGTATTGAAATCGAGTTGGACATAAGTTTCTTACCGGTTTGACGAAGCGCACGTCTGCTCTCGTCGCACGTTCACGCGTCACTGGGGCCCCTTAGCGCGCAGTAAAATGCAGGCATCGGGGTAAGCATTCGTTTTTTTTATATAAATTTAGAAGTTCGGGTCACACTAATGAGCATTAATGTTAATAGGCGCAAGAAAAGGCTGGGAAATCATATTCACGATTGCCTAATCTTTAAATAATTAATATAAATTAACGCCACAGTTATTCAAGTTTACCCCAATAAAAACAAATCGTAATATCCACTCGTCAATAATTTTTATTTGGACTTTAACTTGAAATACTCCGAAAAAGACATATAACACGAATGAAGTGATACATGGTTTTTTGTTATTTAAATTATTATTACTAGTTTCGACCAATAATTATGAAATGTTCTGTTCAAAGAGTTAATTTAAGGATAATATTGCGTGAAATGATGTCAACATAAATAATATCTTGAATTTTATTAGGAAAAACCTGTTTTCACGGCTTGTCTGAAATCGACCCTTTTCTGACAGGTATCTAATCAATGTTTGTTAATTTAACGAATTTGAAGCAAATTTTGTTCTAGTACTTACTATAAACTGATTTAGTATAAAATATTTATGATACAAAATGCACGGTCGGTTATACGTCGCCGTATAGCCGTCTCTTTTCCTCGCGGTCCTTACCTGCTATATTGCTAACAGCGCATTCAGAATTGCGCGTTAAGTCAAAATCATAAGGTCTATATTCTTTCACATTAATCGACTCCGTTCATCTACACTTAGTCATTTACCCGAATTCCATTGGCACTAGTATTACGACTAATGACCAACTGTAATAGGGTATTTGACAGTATTAAAAATAAAGTGCCGATTGTTAGCATCTGTGTTTAGAATGAATATTGGCAGGGATTTTCACTATTTTTACATATAGAAAAAATATTCATAATTTTACGAAAAACCCACGAAAAAGATAATAGTTTTCTTATCTATTGTCACGTGACCCAAAACGCTTGGGATTGGCGGAGTCTAAAATGACGTCACACGCAAGTAAACTTCCGGTTAAAGTGACATTACATTGTATCGTTTGACGTTTTAATAACTGTCGTGTGACGTCACACACTAGTAAGACGCCATATTGTCCAGAGAAACGTTTTCGCGGCAACTTGAAAAATTGAGTTTTTGATTTAGTTATTTTTACTGAAATACACAACAGAATGATGAATATCCACTTTTTACGGACTCCATAAACATTAGTCAATAACGTGAGATCGTTTTCTAAAACTTGTCAAATACCCTATTGAGCTATGATTGAAGTTGACTCTTAATAAGATAGCAATATTTTTTGAACCCACCACTCTTAATAGTATGCTGATAGAGTCGAGTTTTGTATGTTTTTACGAAACGCCGTCTACTGTAAACCACTGGCATGGAGCGATATATGGCGAAGGTTGTAAATATTATTGTTTATGAGAGCGCTTAAACGAGACAGAGTGTTAGCTTATACTATTATAAGTTTTATTTACGTAAATAAAGGAGATACTGATGGTTCATGCGTGTTTTTTTTATTTGAAATTGCAGAATTATTCCCATTACCCCTCTTAATGGGAATAATTCTGCAATTTAAGGCGGGTAATCAGACCCCACTTTCCCAGTGGGCACTTTGGGCAAGTGCCCAGGGCCCCGCGATCGATAGGGGGGCCCCTCAGATCAAATACAAAGTCCCTTATTCCTGTCTTAACACCAAACGCGGGTCATAGGGGCCCCATTATCCTAATATGCCCAGGGCCTCCAATAGGTCAAAGACGGCATTGCGCGCAATGTTTTTTCCATTCAAACGTTCTTGACTGATTCCTCCTTGATTTTTATCACTAAAGAAATGGTTTTCATACATAAAATATATTTTTACTCATTCTATGCTCCTATGACTTCCTTTTTATTATTACTACAGGTAGGTATAGGTATCATAGGTGCCAACACTCATAAATCAATATGAATATAAGCATTTATTATTCATTGCATTTTATGTTCATTTAATGCATATTATTTAAGTGCTTACATAGAGGTAAACACTAAATCTATTCAGAATAATTATATAAAGTGAGCATCTTTCACGATTCAGTATAATAATTATAACCTCAAAATCTAATACATTCTGTAGTAGGCCACGGTTCCTCAAGTTGTCCGTATTTCAACAAATGCCTAATTAGAGTTTATGAATGATTACTAACACATCTAGCATTTTCTCATTGCTGTGCGTTCTAGGGCATTCAATGTATAGGGAACGAGCAATGCCCTTTTGTATGGAAACTTGAACAGCAGCGCCTCAAAGTACGTAACGAGAACTAAAAATCAGTACACATTTGACAATGACATTTCGGACTCGCAAACTATTCAAATTCGATATTGGTTCGTGCTAGGGGTACTGTACTGTTAAATATTCCAAAAGTTGTATGAATAAAAATGTTATTTGCGAGTCCCCATTTTTTTATACAGGCTTACAGGGAAAGTCGTACTGAATATTGAAGGACGTTATTATTCAGGTCATTTCTGATGGATTTGGTCCTATAATATGGTGTCCAAAACTTAACCGTTATGGAGATATTGGATATTAAAGATTTTTTTAAAAAATCCTATATTTTTTGGGTTGCTGTCGATTTTTTTGAAATTAGAGCTCCTAAGGTCCGATTTTTTAATGAATCTAGTTAAAAGACATGTCAAGCAATAATAGTTATTTATTATACAAGAGTGGAAAGTTCCTTTTTAACCGCGTGCTCGATTTGGATGACCGAGCAAGCGAAGGATTCTAAAGTTGAATCACGAGCGCAGCGAGTGATTCTAAATTAGAATCCTGAGCGTCAGCGAGGGAAACAAACGAGCACAAGGTGAAAAATCTTTCCACTCGAGTGCAATACGTAACTTTTCATCCCACCTCAGCGAGGAAATGACAAAATGAAAAAGAAAACAATTTATAATGACAAAATATTTTTATTTCAATTAAAACACATTAAGATAATCTATAAATTGAAGAAAATAATAAGAAGTAGAAAATAATTAAGAAATATTAAATGTAACGTTGCTACAGTTACTTATGTTAAGTTTAATATTTTTGTTAGGTAATGTTATGTTGGTGTTTGTGAATTGTGCGCTGTTTTGTGGTAAACTACTCGTATCAGTAATTTTAAATAGTTGTGCCGATTCATTGGATTCTATTGGCGTAAATGTTGGCGAGAGAGGGCTATTGTTTCCAATCTTATGGGGGCTCATTTTAGATGTAGAAGGGCGAGACCAAGAATCTGACAGAGGTTCTTTCAGCGTTATGGCCTCCACGATACTATTACAAATTTTTGATTTACTTTGGATTGAATCCTCTATGTATCCCTCTACAACCGAATTAGACTTCCAGCCTCCATGGCGCTTAAGCGATAGAAGATCAGCCCCTGATTCGGCCAAAAGTGTGGCTGAGGTTCTTCTAAAACAGTGACCGGTGTATAACGGGGGTTCTAAAAGTCCGAGAAAAGTTGCTATTTCTCGTGGAATACTGCCAATTTTATTCTGACCCATAGGTTGTCGGATACACTTTCCGTTGCGATATTGTAGAAAAAATCGTTCAATTGGGGTGTTAGAAGGACGTAAAGCTTGATATTTCTGAACAATGTTTACATATTCCTTGCGAATAACGAAGTTGCGGTCTTTTTTTGTCTTGGTATTTAGTACATTAATTAATAGCAATTCATCAGAATTATGAGAATATTTTGATACGTTATTGACATTAAGTAGTGTAAGTTCATTTGTTCGACATGCTCCGGTTATACCAATAATAAGAACAACCTGTAACAAAAGAAGTATTTATAATCGTAAATAAATTAATCAAATTAAAAATATTGTAAGTACTATGTACAATTTTATCAACAACAAAAAATTACACGTATTGACTTACTTTTGCCGCTAAATATACGGAATCAGGTGCTTCATTAATAAACTTTGCAATTTCAGATGCTGTGAAAACCTTCGATTTTTTTGGTTTATAACCAGATGAGGCTCTTTTTAAAAATGCCACTAATTTATGATAGGTGTCGATATGAACGTCTTTCTTCATCTTAATTGTTAATTTTAGCATTGAATACGTACTCCATAGCGTGCTTGCTTTCTTGGTCTCAGATAATTCTATAAAATATGCCAGCAAAACGTTTTCGGAGAAAGTTTTTGCTCCTTTAGCTAGTCGCCACATGTTAAATATATCGTACTGTTTCAAATACTTCTCTCGTGATTGCTGAGGGAGAAGGCTCATTTGCGCATTATTAACTGTTTCAGTTAACTCAGTTGGCGTTAGATAAACTTCATCGTCGCTAATGTCACTCATTTTAGTTGATTTTTTTGTACAGTTTTTAGGTTATGTTAATTATATTAAGCAATAAAACGTGAAAAACTAGAATGGCGCGAAGCACGCAAATAAAACAAAGAAACCAAGAAGGTTCCAAATTTAAATTTTTTCACAATTTAAAAAGTTCTAATCATAAATTTGGCACCATAGAGGTTACATTAAATAGGTTTAATGACGTTTTGAATTTACAATTATATTGAGTACTCATTATATGTGATGTTCTAAATTCAAATCTACTTTGCCGCTCAAGCGAATAAAATAGAATTTTCCAGCCAGATTTCGAAGCGCAAAATTACACTTTCCGAGGTGGTGGGATGAAAAAATAATGAATAAAAACTGAACTTACTTCTAACGGCTTAAAAAAAGCATGAAATGACCTGAATAATAACGTTCTTTAATATTCAGTACGACTTTCCCTGTAACCCTGTATATTACGTATAGAGCTGGTTATTATTGATACATTAAGGTCCGTATTAGAAAGATTCTCAGTGATTGATCTAGTCTTGAGCATAGTTAGAAAGGGATGTCGCTATATATAGCACATAGCGACATCCCTTTCTAACTGTACTCAAGTAAAGATCAATACTTAGTTGATGCGGTTAGTTGTCATTCTGTAATACGGGCCTTAGTATCTTTGTTTGCAACTTTCTGAATCGCCTTTTAGACAGGTACAGAAATGAAAGACAATGTCAAAAGAAAAATATTGTATATTTAATTTTTCTCAAAATAAAATTCAAAAAATAAGTTGCGTTAAATCATATTAAATGAATATATTGAGATTTAAACGTCACTAAAAGTGATTTTTTTTAATAAAAATAAGTATTTTATTTTTAAGCATGTAACTGCTTGATGTTCAAATCTAAAGAAAATAAGTACATTGTTTCTAAATTCCGAAATTTTTTTTCACACTTAATGCCAAAATAAATAGACAAAATTGTTAGGTACATAATTAATACAGTTTTTTAACAAGAACTGTCTGGAACTGGCATTTGTCACACTTATTGAATAAGATATAAAAGCTTGTGTGTTTTATTATAAAAATATACATTTCATCCACATATTGTACTAAAACTTAAAATTTACCTATCTACTTGTCGAAAATCACAGATCCATATTTTTAGTAATAATTAACTATTTTTGTTTTGACAATAATATTCTATACAAGTATTTGAAAGTTCGTAGACATTGATTTTAACATTATCTCAAACATGTTTGGAAATGTAAGCATAATTTTGACAATTATTCTATATAAATCGAAATTGTGGTACTGGCCACATTCATGCGAGCAGCGGCCGGAAAAAGTTGTATGAACATCCATAATAGGGATGATGACTATTTTTTTTAATCAGGTAGATTATCAAAAAGTATTGGACACGTATTTTTTCTTTTTTCACATAATATAAACATTGCAGAGATATACTGATTTGAAAACTCGCATGACGTCACGTTTTGGTACAATTTTCACTCAAAGAAAAGTGACGTCACGAGCCCCTACTCTCAAACTTTGACGCGCTATAACTTTGTCATTTTTTGATTGATTGCCCAAAGAAAAAATACGTGTCCATTATTTTTTTAACATCTAACTGACGGACTAAATAGAATTTCGTTTACTGTACCCCGTCATCACCCCTATTGTAGTGTTTAGCGGCCGAATAAAGGAGATTGGTCAAATTGGCCTAAATGCAAATAAAATATTGACATATACAGTAATTCTTGGCGTAATTTATACTTTATTTTACAGTCATTAGATTTTAACGGCCACCTTTAAATAATATATTAATTTTAAAAAAGGACTTCTATTTTTACCGGTTTGGAAAACATACGAATCATTTTTATTGGCTATGGGTGTAGTAACATTCACAAAGACTGATCGAGGTTGTTTATATAACATCAAAACAAATCTTTTTGTAAAGATTGATAAAATATATTTTTTTTTATTACACGGGTGGTATTAATATCCACAACTTTATTATCATTTTTACTACATGCAAATGTGCTAAGACAATTAATATAGATGGTAGGCGACATCATAAAGTCTATTGCCGTACATTTTTTGCCAAACACCTAAATAAACACATTATAAGGTGTGATACACTAAAAATCTAAAATATGGTTATAATAAAAACATAACAAAAATAATGAAGCTGCTGAAGATATGGCTGTATAACCTACAGCTTAGCTTTCTTTGATTAACGAGAGTTTAAAAATTCTCTCTAATCTGTGGCTCATTCACAATCATCACACAGTTTCTGTTCGTGTTTTTAAAAACATGCACATATCTGTTATTTTACATGCTCTATATACCTGAATCTAATACATAATATCGGTACTTGGCTTGATTGCCCTATTTTCCTATATAAGTTATTTGGTTTTTATTATTCTAAAACCTTTGTGCCTATTTGCAAACATAACCTCAAAATCATTCAGTGTATATGGTTTATAGAAGTTCTCAGGAGTGGCCGTCGATAATATTCGTTTCTACGGTAATTTATATATAATTTCGAATGTAGGAAACAATTTTTCATGGTTATTGGTTTTTAGGCCAAACATGTATGGAAGCTGAGCAATCTCCTTTGCCGGGATGTAAACCTAATTATCGAAAAGAAAAAAATCATATAATAGTTTCCGAAACCTAACTTTTAAGCAGACTTTTACTATTTGTGTCAAAAACATTTTCATATTATATTTCATTAGTCCATGATCTTTTATCGACTCGAACAATTTTGAAAACAACCATGTTTTGACTCTAATCAACTCGATGGCGTTGTCGACTTTTACGCTCTTTACACATTATAAATAAATAAAAATAAATGTTTCACAAAAATAAACTTTATCTCCATACAGGAATTCATCATAACCAAAATTGAAAACCTTTTCGAAGTATTATGAATTATTAATGTTAAAAATTCGAAACTTTATAAAAAAACGAATCTGAAGTGAAACTTCTTTTCTTAAATAACCTAAGTATAAGGCATCTATAGGAGCAGCGCACGTATCACACACATATATGTATATATAAATATATACAGTCGAAACCGGATATAACGACATTGAAGGGATACAACTTCGGATGTTATGTCCGATAGTTTTTTTTTATCCAACATTCACACCAATAAGCCTAGCCCCAAAGTAAGCAATGTAAGGCTTGTGTTATGGGATGCTAGGGTAACGGATAAGAATATATATACAATACATATATATATTTATATAGAAATGTACATAGTAAACATCCATGACTGGAGTACAAATGCACGTATTCATCACACAAACATCTGCCCCCACCGGGATTCGAACCCGGGACCTCTCGAGACAGCGACACCATGAAACCCGGCGTACAAACCACTCGGCTACGGTGGTCGTCGTCGTTGTTATAAGCAATATACCCAATTAGTCATATTATTGTCATATGTATTTATGTGTATGGTTATTGATAAATGAATATAAGCTTGTTTTCAAATAAAATATCCAAAAAAGAAGTAATAAGTTTTCTATGAAAAAAATGAAGTAACGACAGTTTATTTTGTTATGCTGCAACAATTAAAACAGTTGGTCATTATAAAAGGATTGGTCATTATAAAACGGTTGGTCATTATAACACAGTTGGTCATTATAAAAGGATTGGTCATCATAAAACGGTTTGTCATTATAACACGATTGGTTATTATAAAACGGTTGGTCATTATAAAACGATTGGTCATTATAGCCGATGAATTACGATATGAACTTTATCCATATTCATTGGCTATGAGTCGTTTTAAGCGGTATTTCGCTGTATCCGGTGTTGTTTTAGGCGGTTTGTTTACTTAAGGGTGTATATTAGGGTTTCGGTAGGGACCTTGCCAATTGGTCGTAATAACCGACACGTCGTTATAAACGATGTCGTTACATTCGGTTTTGACTGTATATATATATATTGTCGCGTGTGACGCTCGTAGCGTTTCAGCCTTCGCCGAGTTACCCTCCAACTTTCATGTTCGTCGGGAAGAGCTGCGCACACATCCCACACACACACACACATATAGGGTGTATTCCATAATATATACCAGTATACTGGCCAGTGCTAATGACGTCAAGAATCGACGCTATACTGGTGAATTGTTCCGAAATATACAGGCCAGTGCACTGACGTCATAAATCGACGAAATATCAAAAATAGTGCGAACAAAAAAGATTTTTTATTCACCTCATCAATTAAAAAGTTTTATTTTCTTCGGATGCCATTATTGTTCTTTAAATAAAAAAAGGAATAAAATTCGAATGCATCTCACGCACGCTCGGTCATACGCCATATTCGCTTTCCCGGTAAAAATATGGTTTGTAGCATACCAGTACAATATGGCGTCGGATTCGTGACGTCACTGGCCAGTATGCTGATGTATATTTCGGAATACACCCATAGTCGTGTGACGCACGTGACGCATTTCCGTTTCATCTCTTCCATGGGATTTTTGAAGTTATACTTCTTTAGCCGCGTTATGAAAAAATTATGAGAGTGAAATTTTAAGATGCGCGCGCATCACTGTAACACAAAAGTAACATAATGAAGTTAGCCGCGGGCGCGTTATGAAAAAATCATGTGAGTGAAATTTTTAGATGCGCGCGCATCACTGTAACCCAAAAGTAATAGCATGAAGTTGGCCGCGGGCGCGTTATGAAAAAATCATGTGAGTGAAATTTCGAGATGCGCGCGCATCACTGTAACACAATAGTAACACCATGAAGTTGGCCGCGGGCGCGTTATGAATGTTAGTGTCTAATAATGGTGGATTATTAACCATTTAGTGGTTAATAATCCACCATTATTATTATTAGACATCTGTTCGAAAGGTACTTTGAACGATCCACGGAGCTCCATAAGATGATCGCGTTGTCAAAAACAATGTAGGCACGCTCGTCGCCTCTGATCACTGTTTTCATATTTATAATATTTATCCACATGTTTCTAGTTTCTATATAGACACAACGTGTTTTAGTTACTTACAAGTGCTAACTACATATGGACTAATAACTTAAATTCAGTAGTGATTTAAATTGAATATTTTGATTATTTATTAAATTTTTCAAATTAAAACTGAACTTTATTGACTGCGTTGACTATCCTTTTCCAATCCTTTTATTATCTTATTGTAATTAATTATCTGCATGCAATTAAAAACTATTTTTTAATAATTCCAAAAAAAAGTATAACTTCTCACGCGCGTACTTAAGTACACGCACCCATATTTTTTTTATACAAAAAGAAGTTTCACTTCAATAAAATTAACTATAGGCACATTCAACAATTGACTATGCTTGTTTAATATTCAACGTCGCGATTATCTTCTCATCGGGGAATATTTCCTGCAGTATTGAGTCGCAATGTTCCCAGGGGACCACTTTGGCTTTGACCTGAGGGTTTGGTGACGCTAATGTCTTCTTGATGAGATCATGTAGAGGATAACCTCGTCTAGGGAACACAACGCCCTGAAATAAATGGACAATAAATATATCATCATCATCATCAGCCTATTAATGTCCCCACTGCTGGGGCACAGGCCTTCCCTATGGATGGAATAGGGAGATTGGGCCGTGACCCACCACGCGGGCCCAGTGCGGATTGGTGGGTGCTAACGGCTGCAGATGCAGCCGGGACCAAATAAAATAAAATAAATATATAATTATTTATAAAGCATTTGCACTGCTAGATATATATTTAAGTCTTAAAAAATAAAAATGAAACTAAAATTACTATTTCTAAAAATGTTTAACACGTGTAAAGGTATTCATTTGACATTGTGGGCTGCCTAAAGAGACGGCGCTGCCTTGCCTAAGGCTAGAGAAAATTTGACACGGCCATCAGGGCTGCGGTTAGGGTTACCATATCTCAGGATTTTTGGACTCTTCTCAGGATTGCGGCTGGATTTTGCAAATCTCATGAAATCTCAGGATTTTTTATATAGCTTACTATAAAAAGTTAAACTAAAAATAATCTTCTATTGGTAATAATTGCACAATTAAAATCAGTACTTTATTATCCAAGTAAGTACTTAATCAGTTTTATCATACTTAATATGTGAAGATACATTTTTAAGTAAGGTTTTTTCTTTAATTGCGGATTCATATAATGCCCCACATGGTAAGCTCTTCAAATTATATTGATTTAAAAGTGTAAGCAGAGTATGAACGATAATATTACGGCTTTTTCAAATTGTTAAGTACTTTTGAGAGAAAATTCTCAACTGTAAAAAATCTCAGGCTTTTTCAATGGAAATCAAGCCTTTTCTCCGGAATTTTGATTTTATCATCTGGTAAGCCTAGCTGCGGTAGCATAATGGTCAGTTCATTCGCTCGGATAGCGAAGGGTGCGGGTTCGAGTCCCGTCTGCTACCTGGTCTGCGTGGATTTTTTTTCTAGTAAAATTTTGCTTTTCTCTTTGTATTGACAACTCATGTTGTTTATCGTGAATAAATTCTACTTGAAACTGAAACTTCAGAATGCTTAAACTGAAATATTTTGTGCTTGTACAAATGAATTACTGTTATTTGGTAATTACTAGACTTGCAACGAATATTCGGTTACTATTCGGTATTCGGCCTATTCGGATGCTTTTATTAGGTATATTCGGCTGAATACCGAATACTTACTTAAATAATATATTTTGTCAGAGAAATAATTGGTAAAATAAAAAATTAAAATTGATTAATTACGTACATATTCATATTTTCATTTCTGTTATACAATCATTTAAGTAGTCATTGGTACATAACACAGGTACAGGTACACATAATCATCTTCTGAATTGGAAAAATGGAGGATTCTATGTATTTCAATTATTGTGGTAATCAAAATTTAGAAGAGTAAGGTTCTCATTTCTTTTATAATCATTTATTAAGTAGTCATTGCTACATAATTTAATCATTTTCTGTATTAAACAAGTTAACAGTTTTTAATTCATTCAGCCATGTGATGAATAGTTACATAATAGCAATAATTAAAAGTTTACGCGCCGTTTTTGGCCATATCTCAAAAGTTGGTTTTGTCATTTAGCCGCATTTTAGCTTGAGGACGGCAGATTAGAACAAAACAAAGGAGCGCGAAACAATCACGTCTGCACAAGTTTTTGGCGCTAAAATCCAGCCGAATACTTTTGCCTAATATTCGACTATTCGGTCAGCGGCCTTGCCGAATATTCGGTATACTGCCGGTATAATTATCATTAGCTGATCAAAAATACTCACATTCGCAGGCAGATTAGTTGTCGGGCAATAGTCATTCCTTCCGTCCCCAGCGTACACAATTCTCGAGTAGTCGCGACTCGCACAGAACTGTGCTAACGCTATCGACTTGCACAGGTTAGTGGGGCACTTGTTACAAGCTTGTTGGTGCATACACGGCTCTATGAAGAGACGCCCGCGCTCCCAGAACGCGCGGTTTGTAACCACTTCTGTAACTATGTCCTATAAAATAGAAACAAAATACAATTTAAATAAAAAAATCCAATACTCACAACAATAGGGATGATGACGGGGTACAGTAAACGAAATTCTATTTAGTCCGTCAGTGAGATGATCAAAAAATAATGGACACATATTTTTTCTTTCGGCAATCAACCAAAAAATGACAAAGTTATAGCGCGTCAAAGTTTGGGAGTAGGGGCTCGTGACGTCACTTTTGAGTGAATTTTCTCTTATAAGTGTACTCAAACGTGACGTCATGCGACTTTTCAAATCAATATATCTCTGCAATGTTTATATTATGTGAAAAAAGAAAAAATACGTGTCCAATACTTTTTGATAATCTACCTGATAAACGAAGAAAAAAAAATTAGTCATCATCCCTATTAGCCTAGTGCCAAAGTAAGCACTGTATAATGTGATTCAATTAAGAATAGGAAAGCCAATGACCTCTATCTGTCAAATGTCGCTTGAAAAGTACGGTTTGCATAAAAAAACTTGGAACCGTTTTTTAGCACTCCGCTAATTCAAGAATAAAAACCAAACATTTGTAAACAAACAATAACAAATATTGATAATTAATATAGGTTTTTTTTTTTTAACTTATTGAGCTGTGGCCATTAATTGTTGATAACCGAAATCGTCAACCAAATGTCACTTTAAGTTGCGTTCAGAATCTCTATTTCAAACTTTCGTTTACATAAAGGATGCATGTTCGTATTTGGCCTGGTGAATAGTGCATGATTTTTCATAACTACTCCGGCGGTAATGCAGAGATGAGCGGAATAGAAGAGCTAGATTCTGATTAATGTTTTTTCTCACAGTCTTAATAAATAAATATTATTAAAAATCGGTGTTTTTTTTCTCAATCTTAGTAAATTAATGTTATTTAAAAAATCTGATGCTTTTGCTCACTTAATATTAGTAAATAAGTTTTATTAAATAAAAACTTTTTTTTAGCTCACTCTACCTATTTGGTTTGAATTGACAGATATGACGTCACAATATAGCGCCAAGTCGGTCCTATTCTTGTTGAATCGCATTATAAGGCTTTTTTTACGGTATGCTAGGGTAACGGATAGAATACATATAATGTCCCTGTATAAGTATATTTATAAATACATATTATACATTCAGGACTGATGTACGAATGCTTGTATTGGTCACACAAACATAATTTGTATATATACATATATATATATACATAGTCGTGACGCATTTCCGTTTCATCGTTTCCATTTACACCCCGGCCGAAAAGAAGTTTCGCTTAAAAAACACTTCTACATACATTTAGAATAAAAAATTCAGTCTCTTACGTCACTCCAAAACTTCTACGTAACACTACGTAACCCATATTACGTCAACGATAAGGTCGACTTTACAATGCCACTGTCATATATGATGTGCCGTGCGGCCTCTGATTGGCCGTCACGCGTTTTATCACGTGAAGATTGTTAGAACAATACCTGTGCCGTAATCTAATTATTTCCACACGAAGTGTTAAGTGACCTAATTTGTAACTTTGTGTTACCTAAAAGTACAACCAACACCATAGACAAGTTAACCGTGACCGAGTGGTCTGGGAGGTGCTCGATGGCGCGGGTGTTTAGCGCGTTCGGCTGCGATCGTTGAAGTTAAGCAACTTTCGCAGTGGTCGGTCATTGGATGGGTGACCAAAAATCTTCTCTAAAGAAAATATAACTAGAAAAAATTCCACGCGGACCAGACAGCAGACGGGACTCGAACCCGCTTCCTTCGGTATCCGGGCGAATGCACTGACCAATTATGCTACCGCAGCCTTAACGGACCGCGTCGAAATTCTTCTAGCCATTCTTAAGCTGCAAGGCAGCGCCATCTCTTCGCATTATGGGTAACCCACAATAATAATAAAATAATGTGGTAATTGTGCTAGTTATATTTTCTTTAGATTTAAACATCAAGCAGTTACATGCTTAAAAAATAAAAATTATAACAAAAATCTTATATCTCGAGTGCCTCCGTGCTTCGGAAGGCACGTTAAGCCGCCGGTCCCGGCTGCATCTGCATACGTTAGTACCCACCAATCCGCACTGGGCCCGTGTGGTGGGTCATGGCCCAATCTCCCTATTCCATCCATAAGGAAGACCTGTGCCACAGCAGTGGGGACAATAGGCTGATGATGATGAAGATACCTACACCAGCCTGCCGCGTTACCTATCGAAAATATACCTACTCAAACATATACCTACTGCGTCCTTGTTTAACTTCATACCCACCAAAGGGTATAGGGCATATTTTAGCAAGAAATCTGACCTCGAACCCGTGCGTCTTCAACCAATGGTTCACAAACACCGTGTTAGCGTCGGTTAACAACAATATGTCCCATCCGGCCGCAGCTAGGGACTCCAGCAGGCGGGACATGCCCGGAGTGGGCTGCATGGAGGCTATGCTGTCCAGGATATCGTCAGGGTGCATGCCGGCGGAGTACGCGTGCTCGAACACCTGCAAACGACGTCACAATTACATCAGCAACCGTCACAACTATAATGCGATTCAACTAAGAATAGGACCGACTGGGCGCCATATTCTGACGTCATAGCTGTCAATTCAAACCAAAGAGGTAGAGTGAGCAAAAAAAGATATTATTCAATGAAACTTCTAACTAAGATTAAGTGAGAAAAAATATCAGATTTTTTCTATTAAAATATTTACTAAGATTGAGTTAAAAACAACCAATTTTTAATAATATTTATTTATTAAGACTGTGTGAGGAAAAACATAAATCAGAATCTAGCTCTTAGATTCCGCTCATTTCTGCATATCAACCATTTTGTCAACCATTCATAGCCAAAGCTCAATAAATGAAAAAAAAACCATATGAATCAATATGAATTATCAATATTTGTTATTGTTTGTTTACAAATCTGTGGCTTTTATTCTAGAATTAGCTGAGTGCTAAAAAAGGGTTCCAAGATTTTTTTGCAAACCTTACTTTTCAAGCGACATTTGACAGTTGGAGTTCATTGGCTTTCCTATTTTTATTTGAATCGCATTATACATCATCAACTGTCACAATTTGCCTTTATAAAGAAATACTGTTGCTAGGGGACATTTTGTATTTGCTGCTTCGAAAATATAGAATGACTTGCCTCCTCATTTGCGGCCAAAGTCTTTTAATATTCGAAAGCAGTTTTAAGCAAAGGTGTAAACGGTGGTTCCTTGAACAACAATACGAGGCGGCAAGTACAATATGTGGTGCTATTTAATTGCTGTAGTATTTTAAACTAAATTATTGTCTCGACTTGGTGATGTTATTCTAATTAATGTATTTTTAAGAATATTATAATTGTGAGGTGGTGGCAGAATACCAGCGACAAATCAAAACTTGACTGTCACATGCTGAGCCACATACCTTTTTGTTTCAATTAAAATTTACTGTCATTGTATTTGTGTATTGTACCAATTGTATGTTGAAACAAATAAATAATTTATTATTATTAATTACATCATCAACCGTCACAATTACACCATCAACTGTCACAATTACACCATCAACTGTCACAATTACACCATCAACTTTCACAATTACATCATCAACTGTCACAATTACATCATCAACTGTCACAACTACATCATCAACTGTCACCATTACATCATCAACCGTCACAATTACACCATCAACTGTCACAATTACACCATCAACTTTCACAATTACACCATCAACTGTCACAATTACACCATCAACTTTCACAATTACATCATCAACTGTCACAATTACATCATCAACTGTCACAACTACATCATCAACTGTCACCATTACATCATCAACCGTCACAATTACACCATCAACTGTCACAATTACACCATCAACTTTCACAATTACACCATCAACTGTCACAATTACACCATCAACTTTCACAATTACATCATCAACTGTCACAATTACATCATCAACTGTCACAACTACATCATCAACTGTCACCATTACATCATCAACCGTCACAATTACACCATCAACTGTCACAATTACACCATCAACTTTCACAATTACACCCTCAACTTTCACAATTACATCATCAACTGTCACCATTACATCATCAACCGGCCCCTCTAGCATGACCACCGAAACGGGATATGATAAAGCGATATATCGGCATTAACTGTCAGACTACTATGGAGTTTAACAGTATTCTGACAGTTAATGTCGATAAATCACTTTATCATATTCCGGTTCGGTGGTCATGCTAGAGGGGCTGGAAGCCATTCGCCTAATGGATGTGCTTTGGAAAACGCTAACGCTTACGATTTCATTTTGTTATTTCTGACCGCCGAAGGTTTTCAAATACCTCACGCTCATTTTCTTTAATATTGTTATTACCAATGCAGAAGAAAAAAAATTTCGCGAGGCATTTGAAAACCCCAGGCGGCTAGTAATAACAAAATGAAATCGTAAGCGTTAGCGTTTTCCATAGCATTTCCGTTAGGCGAATGGCCCCCTGAAGTTCCGTCAGCTAATGAAAATCCAAATTTCATTTTTTTTTAATTCGATTATATAATTTTTCTACTTTTTATGTAAGGGGCGTCCATAAATTACGTGAGATGTTTAAGAGGGGAGGGGGTCTCGGCAAATATCACGCAATTTTTTTTCTGATTGAAACAAAAAAAAACCGGCCAAGTGCGAGTCGGACTCGCGCACCGAGGGTTCCGTACAAACCTGCAAGGTTTACAAAGTTCGCTCATTACGACAATCGAGTCATAACTATGGTATTTTTATTGCAAAATGAAATTCAATTCAACATTACAATGGGGAAAGATGGAGGAGCATAAATTTAAGACAAAGATCTCTTTATCGTTTAAGTAATATGGTTGTACTTTTGCGTTTTTGCGTTGACTTAGAATTTTTTTTTTCACGGGTTAAAGGCAATTAGATCTAAGTATTTGATATGAATTTCAACTTGATAGCTCTACGCGTTCATGAGGAAAAAAGTAATAAGTTTATATTTATTAAAAAATATATATTTTGTAATGTAACTAAAAATTTAATGTTTTCGGAATTTTTCCTTTATGTGTGCTATAAAACGTTGCTTCATGCCAAATTTCAAGATTCTAGGTCGACTGGAAGTACCCTTTAGGTTTTGATTCCCTTGCGAGTACTTGCGAGTTTCAAAATATGCAGCTTAAATTGCTGTTTCTTTTGATTGCGTTGACATAGAAGTTTGATTTTGTTACAGCTTAAAGGTATTATAGACCTGAGTATTTGGTATGAATTTCAATTTAATACCTCTACGCGTTTATGAGGAAATGGGTAGTAAGGTTAAAATTATTAAAAAAAAATATATTATGTGATGTAACTAAAAATTTATGGTTTTCGTAATTTTTCCTTTATCTATGCTATAAGACGTTGCTTGGTACCAAATTTCAAGATTCTGAGTTCACGGGAAGCACCCTGTAGGTTTTGATTCCCTTGCAAGTGTCGAAAATTTGCGGCATAAACGGCTGTATCTTTTGATTGCGTTGGCTTAGAAGTTTGATTTTTTCACAGCTTCAAGGGACAGTAGACCTGAGTAATTGATATAAATTTCAGCTTCATACCTCCACGCGTTCCTGAGAAAAAGGGTCTTGACAGACGGACGGACGGACAGACGGACAACAAAGTGATCCTATAAGGGTTCCGTTTTTCCTTTTGAGGTACGGAACCCTAAAAATATACTATTTTGCTCCATTTAGTCCAGATTGTACATGCTTAACATTTAAACACTAAGCAATATTGGTTACTAGTCTTAAATAGGTAGTCGTAAATAAAAGCACGAAGCAATTTTTTCTTTTCTTTTTACAATATCAATCCAACTCGTTTACCTAAGAAACCCACATTATGAAAAATCTCACGTGAGATTGGGGGATGGGGGAGGGGGTTGAATAAAATCTCACGACATCTCACCAGGGGGGGGAGGGAGGAACAGAAAATTAAAAAAAACACCTCACGTTATTTATGGACGCCCCCTAAGTGCTTGCCAATACCACAGAATATATACACTACGCGAAAAGAAGCGACACTTAAGCATGTGTGCTCGTAAAATCGCCCGCGGCTATGTGTGGGTGTCTGGAGGTGTGCGGGGGCGTTGCGCGGCGCGCGGGGCGTGGAGAGGGCAGTCGCCGACTGCCTCCACCGAAGGGATGGCAGTAGCGAAATAGTAAAATAATAGCGTTGCACTGCATTGCACGCACAGACTGACTACGCTACGCAATCTTATTATTATTCAGATAATAATAAGAATTATAAAACGAATTGAAAAAGGAGAAAATATATAAAAGTTAGCAATTTGTTATAGTACCTACATTAAAAGATTAAAAATTGATTATAAAATCAAACCTATCCTTCATTATTTACCCCAGTATCCTTGAATCAGTTTACATTTAATAACTTACTATGCATAAATATTCATTGGCACAAGTCTAAATTCCAAGTTCAACCCTAGCGCATACACGCTCCTGCTCAAGGTCACTGACGCTGGAACTCTCACGTACACAGAGTGTCACCGCTGTGCCAATACTGAATAAACAGGAGGCAATGAATGTTTTTGTTCGACCTTCATGAAAAAAGAAAATTGGGCGGGAGGTACCAATTATTTTATGAAACCAGATAAGTGACGACTCTGCGTCAGACCAAAAGTATACGCCATCACACTAATATTATAAAGGGGAAAGTTTGTGAGTGTATGAGTGGGTATATTTGTTATTTCTTCACGTCTAAACGGCTGGAGTGATTTTAATAAAATTTGGTATGGAGTTAGCTGACACCTTGCATTAACACATAAGCTACGTTTTACTGCGGGAAAATATCTGGAAATAATAAATATATATATATCTTTATATATATAATTCTTCTGTGAGTGTGTATGTCACTGAACTTCTCTTAAACGACTGGACCGATTTTGATGAAATTTTTTGTGTGTGTTCAAGGGGATCTGAGAATGGTTTAGATTCACAATTTTTTATGATATATCTTACAAAAACACATATAACCCTAAATTTTCACCCTTCTACCAGCAACCTCTATTTTTTATGGCGGAACGAAGTTCGCTGGGACAACTAGTATATATATATGTATATATATATATCGTCGCGTGTGACTCTCGCGACGCTCGTAGCGTTTCAGCCTTCATCGAGTTACCCTCCAAGTTTCATGCTCGTCGGGAAGAGCTGCGCACGTATCCCACACACACACACACATATATATAAAAAGTCCTGCCATAACGACGTTATTCAACCATTGACAAAGAAGCTTTGGGGATAATAGGGGTGATGACGGGGTACAGTAAACGAAATTCTATTTAGTCCGTCAGTTAGATGATCAAAAAATAATGGACACGTATTTTTTCTTTGGCCAATCAACCAAAAAATGACAAAGTTATAACGCGTCAAAGTTTGGGAGTAGGGGCTCGTGACGTCACTTTTGAGTGAATTTTCACTTATAAGTGTACTCAAACGTGACGTCATGCGACTTTTCAAATCAATATATCTCTGCAATGTTTATATTATGTGAAAAAAGAAAAAATACGTGTCCAATACTTTTTGATAATCTACCTGATAAAGGAAGAAAAAAAAATTAGTCATCATCCCTATTTACGCTGTGACAAAATTTCATCGTTACGTCTACGGTCAAAAATTTACCCTGCTAACCGATCATAAACCACTTCAAAGAATACTCAGTCCAAACAGAGAAACCCCTAAAGTTGCTAGCAACCAACTTTTAAGATGGGCTATGGTCTTAAACAGCTATGATTACTCGATCATCTATCATGCCGCAAAAGATCGCACACCAGCTGACGCCCTTTCACGCCTTCCCATTCCTGAGAATGATGCAACGATTGAAGAACAAATGGGTCTTCCGTTCCATATTTTCCATAGGATTTTTCAATTTATACCCCGTCCGTGAAAAAAAAATCATTTCAATAATAATTTATTTATAGAAAAATATGTGTGCGTGTACTAGTGTACACACGTAAGAAGTGAAACTTCTTTATGGCCTTATTTTTCGAAAAATGATCTACATGCAACTTTCCAGAAATTGGTTAAATAAAGTTAAATTAGATAAAGTTTAAACAAAAGGATTTTATTATCATAGACATGAATACAAATTACTGCCTATGAAACTGTTATGATTACACGGCTCAGTAATCTAAGGCACATGTTCCACCTCCGACGATGAACGATAAGCGAGTAGAAACTAGAAACGAATTGGCAGTCCTGAGTTAAAATGCACGCGCACGGCTTTTGACAGCCAAGCCAGCTTAACCGAGCGAGTATAGCTGAGCAAGAGTATAACTGAGCAAGAGTATCGCTGAGCTAGTATCGCTGAGCGAGTATCGCTGAGCGAGTATCGCTATGCGAGTTTGGCTGAGCGAGTCTTATCTTTAATAACTATTGTCACTCAGCTACAAACGAGTAGAGAGAGTTCTCGCCGGCGACAGTGTGATCATTCAGCTATCAACTATTAATATAAAAAAAGATGGCGCGTAACGGAAAAATGTGACGCGTAACCGAAAAATGTGACGGTAAATTTTTTTCCAACGCCGATTAAGAAGTTTCACTTCAATATGGTTACAAATAGTGTTATAGCATTAATTTCCAGCGTATCTGTTGTACTTTAACGTGCAAATATTAGATAGGCTATCAAAATCAGGCTCACATATGTCGTAATGAAGTTAAAAGGATTTCAACTCAAAAAATAATAATCAATCAGAAATCAATATATCTTTATTCAAATTGGATGTATAGTACAACACTTTTGAATCTTCCAAACATTTTTTTCCCTACCACTCGTTATTGGACATATTTTTTAGCTGCGGAGAAAAACGAGCGAAAAGAACTCCACAACATTAAAAGCATAATGTAACAACATTTACAAATCATTATGTTGTTACAACGTCAATACAATCATGATTTATTATAATATAGAACACCTGTTGGAATGATTGGAACAGTTCAAACCCAAGCATTTTTGTCTGTAATATAATCAGACACTTTGTAATAAGCTTTTTTAATAAGTGCTTTTATTATGCTATCTTTGAATTTATTTATGCTTAACACTTGGATATTGCTTGGGACTTTATTATA